GCTGAGGGGGCCGGAAGCCACAGGGCCCGGGGTGGACACGTGCAGGGTAACCTGAGCCTGAGTGCAGAGACACCTGGGGTCCCGTCCTGGGGCCCCTAGCTCATTATTGCTTCCTCCAGGAATCTCATCTCGATCCCAGGGGTGAGGTCCAGAAAAGCCCCTCCATGTGTCTGGGGGTGAGGCCAGGGGGCACCTCAGATACACCAAGGCTTTCAGGTCCCTCATGAGACCTGCTCCTGGGAAGGACACACTGAAAACTCAAACCCTAAGCCTCCTGCCACAGGGGCTGGAGACCCAGTCATGGGGGAACAGGGGTCTCGCTCCCACACCAGTCCAGCTCCCGTAGGACAAGGTGGATTGACCCGAGAGGCTGCGGGACTCAGACTTGATCAGAGAAAGGGTTTACGGGGAAACCGAAGGCAAGTGGAGGACACCAGAGGCAGCCACAGCAAGCACCATGTCCAAACCCAGCTCAGCCAGATGGACGCCCGCACACGTTCCCTTGGTTCCTATCACAAATACATTCTAGCCACTGACACATAAAAATAATTGTGGTGAAATACATATAGCATGAGCATTACTGTCTTAAATATTTTTAAGTGCACAGTGCACTGGCCTTAAGTCCATTGACATCGCTGTGTGGTCGTCACCACCCTCCATCTCCGGAACATTCTCATCTTCCCTCCGCTAGACCTGCCTCCCACCTCTCCTTTGTCTTAATGAACTGGCCTCTTCCTCCAGGGAGCTCATACGAGCAGTCATACAGGAATTGTCTCTGTGTCCAGGCAAGACCCTGTGTCCGCTATATGGTTTGTTGCTGGATTTGGTTATATTCCTTCGAATGGTTTGGGTGTGTACTGGCACCTGGAGCCTGGACGTGGCACTTGGAGGCACAGGGATCAGCTTGTTGGGCTTGAGTGAGCAGTGGGGTCTGTAGAGAAGGAGGCTGAAAATGCAGCCTGCTAGCCCCCAGGGGTGCTGTGTCCCAGGAATCCAATGGAACACACCCCCAAGATCTGCAGGAGAGCCAGCCCAGGGCAGGCAGGCCCCAGAGACCAGCTGATGTCCAGGCAGGGTTGGGGGGCAGGGTCAGGCTCCACTAGGGAGGTAGTAGGGGTGCAGGGGCCAGGAGGAGGCCAGAAGGTGGGCTGGAGGCCCTGGGTGACTCCGAGATACCACGGAGAGTGAGGAGGTGGGTGGATGGACGCAGAGCCATTATCCAGCCCTGACCATGGAGGATGGGGATGGGGTGGCGGGGAGTGGGGCAGTGAACAGGGAGGCTGGCCCTGGCTTCTTCTGCTATCTCATTGTCACATCCCTCTGCCCCTGCTGATCCCGGAGATAACCGGGAGGAGCTGCCACCAGCGTTAACTGCTCAGATAGCCTGAGACGGCTGTTGTGGGACCTCACTGGGCATCTGGGCAGCTGCCCCAGCGGGACCGGGGCCCCTTCCTGTCAGGGGACTGGGCCTCCCCTTTGGATGGACCCTGGAGAGCCCCTCCCCTGCCCCCTCCTGGCTGGGAAAGGATAAATGGGGAGAGGAAAGAGGGCTGGGCCCAGCAGCAGGACCGGCCAGGTAAGCTCCCGCCCCTGGCGCAGGGTCAGCTGGCTCAGTGCCACACAGACCAGAGCACCCAGAGCCCGTGGCCAACTTGGCCAGGCTCAGCTGCCCTCCTTGCCCCCCCAGAAGCTGACTCTGCTGGCGCTGGTGCTGCCCCTCCTGGCGGGCCCACGGTGTGCGGCCCCGGGGAAGTGGTGACCATCCCTCCTGGCTGGCCTGTAGCCCCCACAGCCCCGGTGATGGGCGGGTGGGCTGGGCTTGGGCGGCAAGCTCGCCCTGCCCTGACCGTGCCTCCGCCCCAGCCCCAGGTCAGGCCGCAGAGTGCACAGGCATCGTGGGCTGGCAGGAGGCCCCCGGGAGCAGGTAGCTCTGGCAGGTGAGCCTCAGGATCAAAGCCCAGTCTTGGATGCACTTCTGGGGCGGCTCCCTCATCCATCCCCAGGGGGTACTGACCGCTGCACATGCCGGGCGTGAGTCTCCGCGGGGCCGGGGGTGGGGCCTGGGCTCTGGAGGCTCTGGGGCCCCTGACTCGGACCCCCTCCCAGAGATGTCATGGGCCCCGCGGACCTTAGGGTGCAGCTGCGGGAGCAGCACCTGTATTACCGGGACAAGCTGCTGCCCGTCAGCTGGGGGGTCGAGCACCCCCAGCTCCACACAGCCCAGGAGGGGGCGGACACCAGGCCGCTGGAGCTCCAGGACCCCATGACCGTCTCTAGCCACGTCCAGCTGGTCCCCCTGCCGCCCGCCTGCCAGACTTCCCCACGGCTCGCCGCGCTGGGCAACGGCCGGGGGACGAGCAGAGCGGAGGTGAGCGAGCGCCGGGAGGCCGGGGCGGCGGGGGACCGGCCGCCCTCCCGAGGCTGGTCCCTCCCCCCGTGCCCCGCCCCCGCCGCAGCCCCTGAAGCAGGTCAAGGGCCCCATCGTGGACAACAGCGGGGGACAGCAACTGCCGCGGCCGGTACGCGGGACAGTGCGCGCCCCGCCCGCCCCGCCCCGCCCCGCCGGCCCCGCCCCGCCCCGCCGGCCCCGCCCCGCCCGCGCCAGGCCCCGCCCCCCCGCCCGCGCCAAGCCCCGCCGGCCCCGCCCCGCCCACGCCAGGCCCCGCCCGCGCCAGGCCCCGCCCCGCCCACGCCAGGCCCCGGGCCTCCCGCCTCGCCACGCCCACCCCGCCAAGCCACGCCCGCCTCGCCTCGCCTCGCCACGCCCACCGCTACGCCACGCCCACCTCGCCACGCCCACTTGCCCGCCGCAGGCCGCCCCTCGCCCCGGGCCTGCCGGGCGAGCCGCTCTGGCCGCGGGGGGCGTGGGCCGCGCTGGGCCCCGGCGGCCCGGCCTCTGCCCCGCGCCACCGGCTGCGTGGACGGACCCGCCAGCACGTCCGCTCCGGCCCGCGCCCGCCGGCCGCCCCCTCCGGGCCCGCTCCGGCCCTCGGGCGGGCCGGGACCCCAGCAGGCGCCTGCGGGGACACTGCCCGGCCTTTCTCCCGCCGGCGTCGGGGGCGGGCCGGGCTCTGGGCCCGAGCCCCGCGGCCCATTTTCCCGGGAGGCCTTCGGCGGGCGGGCCGGCCGCTCCCCAGCTCGCGGCCCCAGCCCGGAGGCCCCGCCGGCCTGGCCTCCCCTGCTGGGAAGCGCAGAGCCGCCCCTCCCCGGCCCCTCCCGGAGCGGCCCCCCCTCCTCCCGGCCGGGGTCACCGCCCGCCCTTGGCCGGCGCGTCCCCGAGCCCAGCCCGGGTCAGCTTGCGAGGAGCGGCCCTCCCTCCCGACACCCGACCACCCCACCCAGCCGAGCCGCCCCCGGGGCCCAGGCCCGGCAGGAATCCAGCCAGGCGCGCGCCGCGGGAAGGCCAGGCAGGACCACCTGCCCCCAGGCCCCCAGGCCCGCTGCCAAGCCCCGCTTGCCCGGAGGCGCCGTCCTCCTGCTTCCCGACTGGCAGACTGGCGGCAGTGGCCGGGATGCGTGCCCTCCCTGAGGGCGTCCGGGACCCACTGAAGCCCCCCAGGGGGACGTCACAGTGGTTTCTAGGGCCCCTGCGGGGCCCCACCCGCCCCTGACTGCAGTTTCCCCGGGACTCTGGGAGCCCAGGAGCCCCAGGCGGTCCCCGCTCCAACCTGCTGCGTGCCAGGTGCCGGCTGCCTGCCGGTGGCCAGGTGGACCTGCCAGCAGCGGGGAGGGAGACCCCGCTCCCAGAGGGGCCAGCCAGTGGGGCAAGGCCCAGCACAGGCCCTGGGTGGGGCAGGTGATGTGGGCCGGCTCCTGCCTGCAGGCCAGGCTGCGCTGACTCCCTCCCTCCCTCCCTCCCTCCCCCGCGCAGGCGGCTCCTGCCAGGGCCCAAGGATGGCACAGCCCAGGGGCCAGGGGAGCAGGAGCCGGGGCTCAGTGCGGCTGCAGCCCGGGGAGCTGAGTCAGAGCACCCAGGGACCCTCTGGAGCACACGCTGCCGCCGCAAAGCGGATTCCCGGGACCCCTGCCACCCCTCCCCCAGGCTGCCTTGCCCAGCCGGCACCCCTGTGTTCAGGCCCTCAGACCCGCCCGGGGCACAGCCAGGGGCATCCCTCCTCCGCTGGTTTTTAGGTTTGGGGCCTTGGGTCGGGGCAGGTGGTGTCCTCATCCCAGCACAACTCATAACTGGGGTAACTGAGGGGCCTTCAGTAAAGACAGGGGGTTCTCCTGGGAGGTGAGACGCACAGCGCCACCTGCCACCCCAAGGCCACAAGGTCCCCGCGCCAGGCTCCTCTGGACCTTGTGGGGACCCGGGGCTGGAGGCCCCCACCTGCCCGCCCGCACGGGCCTCCTCCCAGTCTGTGCCTGGTGAGGGACACCAGGACCGGGAGGGGAGGACGCGCTCCGGGGACACTAGGGGCCCCCACCCGCCACAACGGCGCGGCAGGACCGGGGAGCAGAGCTGGGGCCGAGGACTAGCGCAGGGACCCCGCCTTTCCTGCTGGGACTCTGGGCTCTCCCAGCTTTGCAGGGCTGGGACTGCGGGGCCGGCGCGGCGCTGTGGAGCGGGGTCTTCGCGGGGTCTCGGGCGGCCACTGCCGGGCTGCTGCGGGGCAGCGGGTGACACCACCGTGGTCGGCCCCCCATGGCGCGGACGGGCGTGGCCGTGGGGCCTGCCCCGGGCACGCAAGGGGGTGCCGCGCCCCACGGTGGTTCGCGTGAAGGGACCAGAGCAGCTGGTTGCCAGGGTTTACTCTGCAGGTGGTGGCAGCCCCCAGGGCCCCCACCTGTGTCCCCTCCTCGCCCCAGCTCTGGCCTTGAGCTGGAGCCGCGGATCCCCAACTTCCCCTGCGGCCTTTCCCCTGAGCAGGTGGTGCCCTGGGCTGTGCGCGCTGCGGCGGCGGCAGGACGGGGAGGGAGCGGTGGTGAGGTGGGGGTGTCCCAGGGACAAGACAGCGTGGGGGTGCAGGGAGGGGTCCCCAGGGAGAGGGGATGGAGACCGTCTCTGAGCCCCGGGCGGTCAGCCCTGGCGGACGCGCCGTCCCAGATGGCTCTGGATCCAGGGCAGGTAGGTGGAGACCTTGGTGTACACCCCGGGGAGATGGCGCTCGGCACAGCCCCTGCTGAAGCTGACCACGGCCACCTGCACCCAGTTCTTGTCCTTTAGCTGGCAGACCAGGGGGCCCCCGGAGTCACCCTGTGGGGTGAGTGACAGGCACGGGGTTCAGGGCTGTGCGGGGCACGGTGGGGGCGCTCTGGGACGGAGGCTCGGGGGAGCCGGGCACGGGCACCTGGCGCTCGGGGACCTGGCGCTCGGGGAGGGGCGGGTACCCGGGGAGCACCGTGGGGCCCGGGGAGCCGGGTGTGGGGCTGGGCTGGGTCTGCGGCCCTGGCCTGGCTCCCAGCAGGGGTCAGCTTTACCCGCCGCCTCTTTCGGATGTCCAGGACCCTGAGGCTCAGAGGTGCAGCCCTCGCCACGGCCGCACCGCCAGCGGCACCACGGCTGCGACTCGGGCCCCTGCCCTCCCAGCGGCCTCCGGCCGGGACCTGGCACCCGCAGCCCTGCTCGCCCGGTGGCTGCAGAGCCAAGCCTCCAGCTTTCTACCGTCGCCACGGCTCTGGCTGCCTCACGACAAATACCGCCCCGCTCCCCTGCTCCGTGGGGCCCTCCGAGGAGGGGACAGGGCAGCCCGGGGCCCCACCCACCTCGCAGAAGCCCTTGGGGCGCCTGGAGAGGCCGGCGCACAGCATGTCCTCGGTGATGTGCTCGGGGCGGTAGAGCTCGCGGCAGCGCGGCAGGCTCACAACGCGCACGTCCACCTCCTGCAGCTTGTAGGGCTGGGGCAGGGCCTCTGCGGGCAGGGGTGCCGTCAGGGGCCGGGCAGGGTGCCCGCCAAGCCCCTGCTCTCTGGGAGATGCCTCGGGGTGGGCGGCGTGGCACCTGGTGGGTGGTGAGGAGCCCTGGGCTGCAGGAGGACAGGCCAGGACATCGCAGCCTCGGGGGCAGGTCGGGGCCCTCGGGCTCAGGGCGATCGGGGTTGGGGTGATTCAAACACCGGCGGGGACTTCTGTTCCACAGGGCAGTGCCCTCCGCCCGCCCCCGCCCATCACCCACCTCTCTCCCTGACGTCCCCCCAGCCGGTGACCCAGCAGCGGGTGCCCGGCTGGAGGTGGGAGCCCGGCTTGGCCAGCAGGACAGGCTTGATGGTGCGGGAGAAGGTCACGGGGTGCGCCAGCTTCAGCAGGGCGACGTCCTTGCCCAAGAGGGCGTCCTCGTAAGAGGGGTGCTGCACCACGCTGGCAACGGCCATGGAGACAGAGCCCGGGGGCTGGGTGTACAGGGCGGACTCCCCCAGCTGGACTCGCAGCTGGCTCAGGTCCGTGGAGCTGCGGGGGGGTGGGGGGCACGGGGCTGGTGGCCGCGCTGGGGAGAGCGGTGCGCCCCCGGGCCCAGGCCCCTGGCGGCCTGCACAGCAGCAGGGGCAGGACAGCGGGCAGGGAGCCGGCGGGAGAGGACTCCTGGAGGCCTGCCACCCGCCTCGCCCACGCGGCACCTCTGCCTGTTTTCCCCCGGAAGCGGGTCATCGTCGCGACCCCAGGGGCTGTCCGGAGCAGCCATGACGTCAGCCAAGGGTGCCCAGAGCAGGGAGTCCCTGCCAGCGGCCCTGGTGGGGGCCCATCATTATTTCCGGAACCTCAAATCCATGCAGAACGCTCTGGCAAGGGCCGCACACGACAGGCCCTCCAGAGGCATCCCCCCCAGTCACCGCAGGACCAGCCAACAGGGTGCTGGTCGGCCCTGAAGGGCTCAGGGCTGGGCCCAGGGCCCGTGCGGTCGCAGCACTGACCTGGACACACAGTGGGCGGCGGTCAGCACCCACTGGCTGGTGATGAGGCTGCCTCCACAGACGTGCTCGCCCTCCTCCCGCAGGCTCACCTGCCAGGGCCACTGCCGGGGGGCCGCCGCCGCGCCCCCCACGATGCGGGCCTCTGGGGCCCAACCCCTCGCTGGTGGGGAGACGGGGAGGCCCGGTCAGCGGGCAGCCTGGTGAGGATCGCCCCAGGCGGCGTCCTCTGTGAAGTCAGCGGCCGGGGTGCCCCCCAGAGCAGCCCCCCGCCGTTGCCCTGAGCGGCACCACCCACGGGGACAGCAGAGCAGCGGCCCACGTGGCCTTCAAGCCTCAAGGGGCTGGATGGCCGGGGACGGCTGGAGTCTGGGTGGCGGGGCCTGGGCGGCAGGTGGACACGCCGTGCAGCTGAGGGCTCCCCGGGGCTGAGGGTATGTAAAGAGGCCGCAGCAGCCGCGGGCAGGTGCCCCACAGGCGGGGAGGGCGCAGGCCAGGCCAGCGTCCCCTCGGGCGGCGGGTTCGGGGGCTCAGGAGCTGCTGCAGGCGCCTTATCAAGGGGCCTGGGACGCGGCCCCCCCAGACCGCCCTCCAGGGGTGGAGGGGCGAGCGCGGCCGGAGCCTGAAAACAGCGAGGGACTGGGTGCAGCCAGGGGGGCTGCAGGGCCGCCGGCCGGGGACTCACCCATCTCTCCCAGGAAGGGAAGCACGAAGAGCGCCACAGGGAGCCGCACCTGAGGCGGGGAGAGGGCGCGTCAGGGGGGCGCGGGAGCGGGAGCGGGCCTTGGGGCCTCCCTCACGCCCACCAGCTGGCACAAGACCTGCTGCCCCTCCGGCCCCACTCCGGGTGGGATCAGGGACGCCCCGGGGCACCCACTCAGGCCTGCCCCCTGGAGAGCCAGGGCCACTGCAGAGAGCCCCATCCCGTGCCGCCCGGAGAGAACCCCTCACGCTGCGGGGGCCAGGCCAGGCCCAGCAGCGTCCGCAGCGGCGGCTGGGCAGGAGGGAAAGGCAGAGGCTGCCCTCGCCCTCCGAAGCCCCCTCACCTGGAGAGGCATCTTCGGAGACCAGCGAGGCACCGAGTCCCTCGCGCCCTCTGCCCCGTCCGCCTTTGGCCCTGCGGCCCTGGGTGGGGCCGGGCCCGCCCCGAACACCCCTCCCGGGAGCCCCAGAGCAGGCACGGATTGGGCCCGGGAGGTCCCTGGCAGTCAGCCGGGCAACTCGTGACTCCGGATGGGCCCGGCCGGCTTGCCCGCCCTCCTGTCCGGGCTGCGGAACAGAAAGGTCAGCCCGGCCCTGCCACGTGGGCCTGCCGCAGGCGAAGTGCCGGGGCCAAGGCCCCTCCCGCCCTCCCCTCGGCTCCACCTGCAGAGCCGAGCCAGACCCCGCCAGCCCAGCCTCGGGACCCCAGGTGTCCCCTGGACAAGCCGACCCCAGCCCTGCAGCTGGGAAGGGACCGCTGGGCCCCTTGGGTGTGCGCCACGCCCCCGGCACCCGGGCGACCTCCTCCGAGGCGCACGTCCTGGGGACCCCCGACGGGCCCTGTCCCCGGTCTCCTGCTGCCTCGAGGCCTGGACTCTGGCTAAGAGGCTCCCGACCCCCCCTCCTCATCCTGCCCTCCCCAGGAGGGGTGCCCTCCCCACCACCCCAGCCCCAGGGCCCTGCAGCCCCGGAGGGGCAGGGCCACGTCCTGGGGACGAGGCAGCGGAGACCGGCAGGGACTTGGGCCGGAGCCAGGTGGTGGCCAAGCGCGGGAGGAGGGCGGTTCCGGGAGGCCCGAACCCCGCGGGCCCTGTTGACTCTGGCGAGGCCGAGACACCGGAGCCGCGCTTATCTCTGGCCGGGGGCGGCCCCGCCTGAGCCCCGGCAGATTCCCGGGGTGGGGCAGAGGAGCCTGAGGCCCGCGAGGCGGTGCGGTGGGGAAGGCGCTGCGGGGCGCTGCCGGGCGGGCAGCTGCACAGGGGCAGGCGGAGGGGCCGCTGCTGCTCCCGCCCGTCGCGGCGCACGCCTGGAGGTGGGGGGGTACCCACGGGCACCGCAGCCCCCAAGCGCACACCCCCACCCTGGCCCCGCCCTGCCCTCCGCTGGCCTTGCCGGGCCCCAAGAGGCAGGGCTGGACGCTGGGCCCCACGGGCGACAGCCGCGGCCACCCCCAGGGGCCGCAGTCCGGGCAGAGCCGCCCTGCCAGGAGTCTCGGGCTTGACGTTGCTCACGTCTGCTTGATTTTCAGAGCTTTGCTGAGACGCGGTCTACACTCTCGAGGGTTCTCGGGATTCCCGACGTGGAGACGGAGCTCCGCGCGCAAGGGCCAACCCGAGCCCGGGCGCTGAGCGGCCTCTCCAGGTCTGGGCGCGCCCCCCTGCGCGGCGCTCGCACGCCCGCCCCCGCCGCTCCCACCTGCACCCGCCGCCCCGCCGGCCGCCCCTACTCGGCCACCCGCCCCCTGCCCCGCAGCCCCGAGACAGAGGGAGGCCGAGGGCTGCTCCCCTGCCCCGCCTCGGCCTGTGCCCAGGGCCTCGGGGCCCCCACCCTCACTCGGCCGCCCCGCCGAGTCAGCAGCCCCGCGGCGGGCGCAGCCTGGGGCCACCCAGGGGTCCGCATGTCCCTCTGGGCACGGACAGGCCCCGGCGCGGGCGCGTGACTGCGGGCGCCGCGGGCCGGCGGGGGCAGCGCTGACGACAGGGACCCTCTGCGCCCCCACAGCCGCCCCGCAGCGTCCCCAGAAGCCAGACGTCCAGCGTGACCGGCTCCAGGACACACCCCATAACAAACAGGCAGAGAATCCAGAGGCAGCCATGGGGCCCCCATCATCCCAGTGGAGCTGTCGGGGCGCCTGAGGGCAGAAGCCACCCCCAAGCGGCCTGGGGTCAAGGGTCACAGGACAGGTTTGCAGAACGAACCAGGAAAGTGTTGACTTAGAGTCTCCCAAGAGGAGGCTCAGGACAGCGGGGTGGAGGGAGCAGAGCGGGGTGGCCCGGGAGGGGAGGGGAGGGCAGGGGCGGCTGCGCTGGAGCCGCAAGACCCCAAGCAGCCCCCCTGTGGCAGACGTCCTCAGCAGGAGGGTTCGGACAGCCTCGCCCCGCAGCCGACGCCCCCAGCCCCGCAGTCCCGCACACTCGGAGCCGGGCGGCGTCCAGGATCTTTAATGCGAGTCTGACCCGGTGTCCACCGCGGTCGGGCTGTCCCCGCTCCCCGGCCCAGGGCGCCCCCCGCCCCGCCTTCCGCGGCTGGGGAGCAGCAGCGCGTCCCGGGGAGAGGGTCTGCCTGACAGGCGGCCCCTAGCGCGGGGCAGACGGAGGCACGAACTGGCGGATCCAGGACAGGTAGCTGGTCACGCGGGTGTACACCCCGGGGAGGTCTCCGAGTCCGCACAGCCGGCCCCAGCTCACGACCCCCACCTGCACCCAGCTGCAGTTCTGGCGGCACACCAGGGGGCCCCCAGAGTCGCCCTGCGGGGAGAGGCAGGGCTCAGCCGGCACCCCCAGCCGGAGGGGGGCGGGGCGGGGGGTTGGGGTGGCAGGTGGGGGGGGCGGGGGCGGGCGGGGCGGTCACCTGGCAGGAGTCCAGGCCCTGGCTGCCGGCGCACAGCATGTCATCGAGGATGACCTGGCGGCCGGGCTGGGAGGAGGTTCCCTGGTACCGCCGCTCACACTCCTGGGCCCCCACCACCGGGACCTCCACCTCCTGCAGGTCGTAGGGCCAGGGCAGGGGCGCTGCAGGGAGGGGCGTGGTGAGCCGCAGCTGCTGGGGCTCTGCCCCCCCACGCCTCCCCCCGCCCCATGCTGGGGACCTCCCAGACCCCGAGGGAGACCCAAGATGGCTGGTCCCGGCCCGTGGCCGTCGGCTCCTCCGGCCGAGCAGGGCTGGGGCGGCAGGAGGCCCTCCCCGCCCACGGTGGCCACCCGAGCTCCGCAGCTGGGCTCCTGGGGCCGCGGCGGGACCTGGGGGCTGTCCAGGGCTCTGAGGGCTTGACCGCCTGGCCCCAGGGCGAGCCCAGCGGGCAGGGTCTGCACTGAGACCCAGGGCTGCCCGAAGCAGCGCCAGGTCCTGACATCTGTTCCGGAAACTTCCTGCCTGAAGCCCCACCTCATTCAGCCTCGGGGACCCCAGAAGGTCCAGAGAGTAACCCCCAGCCCTGCCCTTCCCCTCCAAGCCCCCCGGGACCTACTGTTGAATTCAACGGCTCCCCAGCCGGTCACCCAGCACCTGGTCCCCGGCTGCACCCCCAGCCCCGCAGGGGGGAGGGCCACCGGGCTGACGAGCTCTGAGGGCATCACGGGGGCCTCCAGCTGCAGCAGGGCGATGTCCCCGCCCCCCTCGGCGGACAGGCTGTGGTTGAACTTGGGGTGGCGGATGACCTGGGCCACCTTCCTCAGCCGGTCGTGGTGGTAGAGCCGCAGCTGCCCCAGCTGCACCCGGTAGGCGCAGGCCTCCAAGTCGTCCCTGGGGAGCAGGGGTCAGCGCCGGGCCCTGCCCGGTCCCATGTCCTCCCGCCACGGCCCCCGCGCCGCCCGGACAGAGCCAGTACTCACGGCTGGACGCAGTGCGCGGCCGTCAGCACCCACCGGGGGTGGACGAGGGAGCCGCCGCACAGGTGCTCCCAGCGGTCGGTCTCCTTGCTGTAGTACCGCAGGCTGACCTGCCACGGGTACCTCCTGGGCGAGACGGGACACCCCCCCACGATGGCCACCAACCCGGGGTTCAAGCGAGACTCTGGGGAAGCAAGAGAGGCCGTCGGGGGCGCGGGCCGGACGTGCTCCGCCTGTGGGTGGTGCCCGCAGGCGGCTCCTGGGCGCCCCGGGGCGCAGGCTCAAGTACTCACCCGCCATCAGGGGCGCCGAGCCCCCCGGGCCGGGGAGCGCCAGGAGCAGCAGCCACAGCATTGCAGAGAAGGGGCGCTCAGAGCCCGCACGGCCTGGCCACACACTGGGTCCTGGTCTCCCGCGCCACCCGCTCCCCGGCCGTGTCTGGGCGAGCGCAGCCCCGGGGGCAGGAGCCGCTGCCCCGCCCCAGCCTGTCCTGCCCTATCGGCCCGGGATCTTCGTGTCTTAAATTCCTGCCCTTTGCCTGCAGAAGCATCACTGCTCCCCCTTTCATGGCCTGGAGGAATGTGGCGGGGAAGGGTTGTCAGCGGCTGGTCCTCTTATCTGAGGGGCTCTCCTTCCGCCTGAGGACGCCCACCCCCCACCCCCCACCCCCTCACCCCCACCCCCACTTGGCCAGCCACACCCTTTGCCCTCGGCCTCTCCGCATGGAGGCCGCTGGTCTGGCCTTTCGCCTGCCTCTGTCCGGGTCATCAGTTCGCCCACCCAATCTCAGAGGATTCCAGATGGGGCGGGGGTTCCCCTGCACCCCAACAGCAAGCCGCCCCACCCCGCCTCTCCCACACTTCCACGTCCTCCGGGTCCCCACCAAAGCTGGTATAACCTTGCCGTGACCCACAGCTGGGCCCGGCCGCACCCCCAGCCCCGCAGGCGGGTGGGACCCGGGCTGACGGGCTCGGAGGGCATCACGGGGCCTCTAGGGCAGCGGGCGATGCCCACCCCCTCGGCGGACAGGCTGCGGTTGAACTCGGGTAGCGGATGGCCTGGGCCACCATCCTCAGCCGGCCGTGGTGGTAGAGCCGCGGCCGCCCCAGCTGCACCTGGCAAGCTGAGGAGACAACCCTGCAGCTCACTCAGGCTGGTCAGCAACACCCCCCTTGCCTGCCCAGCCACCCACTGGCCGGGGAGCTGCTATGCTCGGGGTGCTCCCTGCTGCCTGCTGTGGCCAGAGGCCAGGCTGCCACAACCACTGCCTGGCGGGGGCCTCGCGCCCACCCCCGGTGCCCCCAGTGGCCTTCCTGGGCAGGACCTGGGAGGGAGCGGCTGTGCCCAGCTCAGGCCCGGCCCGAGTCCCTGGCTCAGGTGACTGGAGCGGAGGGCAGGCAGCGGGGAACCGGAGGCACGACTCGCCTGGGACACGGGCAGTGGCCTTGGGGGGAGCAGCAGCCACAGGCCAGGCAGGGCCTGGAGACCTGGGCGGGCAGGGAAGGACTGGAGTTCTCAGCCTCTCGAGCCTCTCCCCACCCCTCTGGGCTGCGTCACCCACACCCCGCCCGGGCAGGGGAGGCAGCCGGCCCGGGAAGTGGGCCCAGGACCCCTGCCGGGTCCCCCAGAGCCCACAGGCCCTGACAGGCACCCACAGGCCAGGGAGGGGCGCGTCCTGGACACAGAAGTGCGGGGCAGCCGGCCCGGCCCAGGGGCAGGAGGCACAGGCCGGGCTGGGCCACCGCTCTGAGCTCGGCCAGGCCTGGACCAGGCACCTCTGGTGGCGCCGGCAGCCGCCGATGTATCCTCAGATTCGCAGCTGGGCTCCGCGAAGCTGACCTGGGGGGTGCGGCGTGACTTGGGGTTGGGCGGGAGGGAGGGCCCTCTGGGCAGCCAGGCAGGGCCTCCCGGCTCGTGGCCTTCCCTGCGGGGCCCTGCACTGGGACGGGACCTCGGGGCGCTTCAGGCTCAGCCCCGCCCAGACCCCACGGGCAGGGGCTCCGAGCACTGACCCGTTCGTGCCTCTGACCTGTGGCTCTGGCCCTCGGGGAGCGGCGGGGGCACCGCCCGGCAGCCCAGGTCCTCTCTGCACCCAAAGCTGCGACTTTCCTTTTCTTTTTTTGAGATTTCTTGCCTTACGCAGACAAGAGCTGGGGCGCAGGCCAGAGGGGCGGGGGTGAGGGGACTCCCCAGAGGCAGAAGCGGGGAGCGGAACGGGCGGATCCACGAGACACACTGCTGAGGGGCGCAGCGGGAGACAGGAGGGTCTGGGGCGCCCCGTGGGTCACTCCCTGCGATGGCCCGATGATGGCGCCCCCAGGGGGGCCCTGCCGCGGGCCCTGCGCTCCCTCGCCAGCTGCTGCCCTGCTGTGATCCGCGGTCCCCTCCAGACCCCGCCACGCAGCTGCTGCTGCTCGGACGCAGGACACGCGGGGCTTCCTGAGGCTTCCGGTGGCCAATTCCTGCTTCGGTCGCACTTCGTTCTGGCCAAGGCGCCGCCTTCCCTCAGGGTCGGCGCTCGGCAGAGCTGAGAACCAGCAGCGACGCGGGACGGGCACGGCGCCACGCGGGGAGGGCCGGGGGCTGCCCAGGCCCGGGGGCCCTCAGCCCCTGGGGTGCTCCATGGCTGTGCCTGTGGGTGAGCCTCCTGGGGCGCGGGGACACGGGGCGGGGTTTCGGGCTGCTGGGAGAATTCACCCAACTCAGGCTTCAGAGACTGGATCAGATGGGCCCCCCACCCCCCCATCTTCGGTTGCCAGCTGGGCGCACCCCCGCGTGCATCGTGGAGGTGTGGGGCTCGGGGGCGCCCGCTGCTCCCGCTGCACCTGCCCCGCGCGGACAAGCTCCTGCGCAGCGCGCGGATCCCGGGAGCCGCCCCGGGAAAGGGCTTTCTGCCCAGCCAGACGCGGACGGACCACCCTCAACGTGGGGGCGCTCCAGAGGCAGCAAGGCCCAAGCGGACGCTCACCCAGCCGGGTGCCCGCCTCGCGCCGCCTCAGACTAGGGGAGGGCGCCGCCGGCCGCGGCAGGATCCGTCCAGGCCTTGACAGCCCCGGGCCGGAGCGGCAACCCCCCTGGAGGCCGAGCAGCGGGCGCTCGCCTTGTGGGGGAGGACCGGGCGAGCCCCACCCCGTCCCGGGATCCAGCGAGGACTTGCCAGCACCCTGGGCACTCGGGGCACAGGCCGGGCAGGGGAGGCGCAGCTGAGGCTCAGGCCACCCTGGCCGCCCTGCCAAGCACCCGGGGCCCTGGCTCCAGACGTCCGGTGAGAGCCGCCACCTTTAAGGTGAGGGGCCCCTGGCACCCGCACCTCTGGCTGCCAAAATGACCTCTTTGGGGTGTGGAGGGGCAGGAGCCGCTGCAGAGGCCCCTGCCCACCGTCCAAGTTGCCTGTTGGCTTGGGGTGGGGCAGCTGAGAGGGGGGCTGTGGTGGCTCGGGTGGGCCATCTTTGGGGTCTGCCCGCAGGCGCCCACCCCCAAGGGCAGATCTGCCCCCAGCCGGGCGGGCCCGGCCCAGGGCCCGTCCCACCTTCGTCTGCCAGGGAGCACACACGTCCTCCATCCCAGGGTCCCTGGCCCCCCCAAGCCTGACTTCGGGTTAGCCTCTGCGGGGTGCAGCGGGCTGACCTTCCCTCCTGTTGGCCCGGCTGGCAGCTCGCAACTCCTGAGACCCCCAAACAAAAATGGTGACTCAGGGTGTCGCCACGTGCCCTTCCAGAGAGGAGGCGTGGCTCAGGGCAGTGAGAGCAGGGCCTCTGGGCCGCCGCCGATCACCCCAAGGACACGAGGTCGGGCCAGTGCTCCTGGAGGCCTGGAGCGGCTCTGGGGGTTCTTGGAGGGGGGCTGCCACTGCAGACCCACCGATGGGGCCTGCAGCAGGAGCGCAGAGCCGGGGTGGAGGTGTCTGTGCCTGCAGACGCCCTACTGTGCGTCGGGGACAGAGGGATCGCGCGCTCGTCTGCGTCGTAGAGCCTTGTCCGCTCACGCTCACACTGGGGTGGGGGGCTTCACCGTACTGGGGGGGCAGGGCACGATTCAGTTCCGAGCACTCTGACATGGGATCCGGGGTCTCCTGGGGATGCTGTGCTGACTGGGCAGGGCCCCTGTGGGTTCCCTAGGCCCGTGCCTCACCGCTTTGCTCCCCAAACTTGCTGGCTCCCTTGCCTGGCACACAGCCAGGCCGTTGGGCCCAGGGTAGGACGGAGAAGGCCCCGTCCCGCCTCCCCCAGGCCATAGCCCGGACCCCCGAGGCTGACTCCGCCTCCTCGGGCAGCTGCTCCCAGGTGCGCTGTCCCCCGCATCGGGCGGTGCCTCCTCTGCCCACCGCTCCCCTCTGGGCCATCGGGCGGACGCCTGCGGGGGCTGCCTGCAGCAAGGAAGGCCTGCTGCCTGGTCCTCAGGTGCACTCTGGCTCCGGGACAGAGCGCCCCTCGCCCTGTCGCCTGCCCCACGCCCGGCCTGCGGCTGCTCCCACGCCTTCCAGAGCGGTCCCTGGAGCGTCCAATGACCATGCTGGCCTGCCTCGGGCTAGGGGTCCCCGGGGTGACCTCAGGGTCACCATCAAATAGCACAGAATTCGCTGTTAGAACCGTTGGCGAGAGACCCCCTCTCGGCGCTCAGCACGCACCTGTCTCAAGCCAGACACCTCTAACCCCCAAAGCGCAGGCTCCCCGAAACCCCGGCCCAGGTGAGCCCTGACCTGCCTGTCCCGGCCCAGCCTCCCCTGCCGGCTCCTCCCCAGTCCACTGCTGCCAGCCTGCCGGGTGCCCGCTCCCCGCCGCGCGGGAACAGAGTCCGCGTGGAGCTGGCTGGGGCCCTCTGGCGGGGGCCTGTGTGCGCGGGGTGTGGGGGTCAGGCCGGTGGCGGCAGGGCTCCGGCTCTCGGCGTGTGGCCTCGGGGACAGGGGTGCAGCTGCCCCTCCACCCGAGCAGGCGGTGCCAGGCCACCGCGGGGCGTCCCGAGATGGCCTGGAGCTTCCGGGCGCTCGGAAAGCCCCGGCCTGGCGGAGGACAAAGCCGGTCGGCCACCCCCCCCACCCCGGGCGGCCGCGGCTCCAGGCGGCCGGCACTGCTGCCCCCCGGCGGCCCAGGGCCGCGGCGCCCGCGCGGGCGGCAGGTGAGCCCCGGAGCCGCCTGGCCCCGCGCCCCTCCTGGCTGGGCGCGGCGAGGCCGGGGTTCGGAGCCGGCGAGCCGAGGAGCCCTGGCAAGGGTGGGGGCCGGGAGAGCCCGGGGCCCAGGGGCCGCGGAAGACTGACCTGGGGGCAGAGGCCGACGGGGAGCCCCTGGGGTGAAGGGACCTTGGGCGCCGGCCGACCCGTGGGGCCGAGGGGGCCGACCCAGCCGCGGGCGAGGCCGGGGTGCGGGGAGGACCCCCTCCCTCAGGCGGGGTGTGAGGGCGCTGCTGGGCGAGCGCGGGGGCAGGAGGCCCTGCCCGGGAGCCAGGCAGCTCGCGCGTCCGGCTCTCCCCTGCCCCGGCCTGGGGAACGCGGGCGGCAGCGTCCCCGTCCGGCTCGGCGCCGACTGGAAGACGACGGCCCGGAGGAGCCGGAGAGGGAGGGCGTCCTCGGCCTCTGTCCCTGCGCTGGGGCGCGGGGCTCCGTCGGCCCCGGGGTGAGGGTGCGGCCTTGACCCGCCACAGCCCGGCGCCGCGGACGCGGCAGGGGGACGCACGGCATCTGCCGGGCCGGGGCGGGGTGCCCGCCTGCTTGCAGCCTCTCTGGGCTGGGCGCCGTCCGCACGGCGGGGTGGAGGATGGGCAAGCCCCCCTCGTGGGGTCAGGACCCAGGCAGGCAGGGGCCGCCCCGGACCGCCTCGCCTCGCTAAGGCGCGAGCCCCTCCAGGGACGGGGAGCAGCAGCCCAGAGGCCGCTGGCCCATTCATGCTTGCCCAGAGGGGGACACCCGGCTTGGGCGCCCCGGAAGGCAGCTCCTGTGCCCCGTGGGGCCAGTCAGGGGCTGAGCAGCCCGTGGGGGGTGGAGAGATCGGAGGATCTTGGCGTTCAGGGGAGCCCCTGGAGGCAGCCGTGGGGCCAGACTCACAGCTGGGCCACTGTGCCCCAGGAATGTCTTGTAAGAGGCGCTGCTGGACCCCCTCAGAGACTCAGGAGCATCCCCAGGGCCCCTGGAGAGCCCGAGGGGGGGCACTGCCCAGTGCTGGAGGACACCGTGGCGCCAGGGCTGGCAGGGAGGCACCGGAGGCTGTAGCCAAGCAGCACCCCCTGCGCCCCCTTGCAGCGGGCACACGAGGGCTGAACAGAGACCCTCCTCCTGGGCCTGGGGGAGAGACCGGCCCCTCCCGGGCCTGCGTCCAGGGCCCCACAGCCCCAGGGGCGCCTGCTGTTGTTTCCCTCATGACCACCCCTGGTGCTTGGGCGCCTCCTGCTTTTGTTTGCGTTTCCCCGGACGACAGCTGCGCGGAGGGACTTCTCGCGGCTCGCTGGCCATTTGTGTATCTTTGCAGACGCGTCCACTCAGACCCTCGTGTGTCGGGCTTCGAACCGGTGGCTGTTGTGTGGTCGGGCTGCAGCCCCCCCCACCCCCCCGCCCCCGGCAGATACATTCCCCCGCATCCGGGAGCTCTAGTTGTTAATGCACAAAGTCCTGAATGTGTCGGGATCGCCCGGGCCCTGGCAGTCTGCGCACGTGGTGTGAGGTGGGGGTCCAACCTCCCCCTCTGCCTGGGGGTCCTCTTCCTTCCAGCCCCGGCCCTGGAGCGGGGTGCCTCCATGCCGCCCGTGCGCCCACAGCTTGGCCCCTGTGGGCACCCAGGGGAGTTGGGGTGCTCTGCTTCCTCCCTCTGGGTCCCCCCACCCCTGCTCTGGGCAGGTGACCAGGCACCACAGCAGCCACCTCGTCTCACGGTTTTACCTGGGCTGATTCTGCCACAGCCTTCCCCTCCCCAACAGGGTTCCTCCGGCCCAGGGAGACCCCCTCCCACTGATCCGCTGAGCCTCGCCACAGCAATTCCCCCTGCTGCCCAGATCAGGTCCCCTGCCTGGTGGTCCCGCCCGCACATCTCCCCTGCCTACCCTCTCGTGCCCCACCCTTCTTCCTCCCAGCCCCCCCGCGGCTGGGCCCAGACTGCCCTGTCCAAACGGGCGCGCCGGCCAGCCAGCAGCCCGCCAGCGCTCCGGGGCAGGGCGCCATCGCCCGCGTCTGTCCTCTGCGGGGCCGGGGCCTCCCGCAGCCCGCTGGGGTCAGCGGCCCGCAGTCCTTGCTCTCGGGGACTGGCCGCGGGGCCCCTCCTGCCCTGGCCGCGGCCCAGCCTGAGTGTGTCACCAGGCTGCTCCAAGGCCCGAGGCAGTCTTTCTCACGCCTGCGGCCGCTGATGCACAGCACAGAGCAGACGGCCAGGGGCCGCCACCGCGCGTGCGTCCAAGGGCCGGCCGCTCAGCCTGGGCTGGGGACACCAGATCTGAGGCTGCCCCTGCAGCCCCTGCCCCGCCCCACCCCCGCCTGTCCTCCAGCGCCAAGGCCCGTACCCTCCTTGGGGTGCCCGTGTCTCCCTCCAGGACGGGGAGCTCTCTCTGCTGGTCAGAAGCCAGCAGTCAGGCGGGGGCGCACCGCCCGCTCGGGAGCTTCTCCCGCTCAGCACCCTCCGTGGCGCCCAGCCCGCGGGGCCAGGCCCAGGCCCAGGCCCGGCACCAGCACACGCAGTCCAGGAAGCGCGGCCGGCCGCGCGGGCGAGCGCTGAGACCAGGGGCCCCTGCCTGGCCTCGTCCCTCCGGCAGGGCCACCGGCTACCGGCCGCTCCGCGGCCACACGCCTGGCGCCCAGCCCCACGCGGACCTCCGGCCTCGGGGGAGAAAGGCGCCCCCGGGCTCCCAGCGCCGGGCGGCCGGCACGCGCTTCCCGGGCGCTCCAAGCTGGGCGGCGGGCCGGGCCCAGAGGCGGAGCTGCCGAGGCGGAGGCGCGGGGAGGAGGCGCCCCAGGCCGGCCCCGCCGCTCGCGCGGGCCCCGAGGTGAGCAGCCCCGAGCTCGGCGCTCGCATCGGGCTGGGGGCCGGGCTCGGGGCCTTTGCCCGGGACCCGGCAACCGCCCTCTGGGCCGGGCGGGCCGCGCACCCGGGGCCCAGGGCCTGAGCGCGGGGCGGGCCGGGGCCTCCGGGCGGGGCGGGCCGGGCCGGGCCGGGCCGGGCCGGCGGGAGAGTCGGGGGCGCCGGCGGGGAAACGCGAGCGCGGCCCAGCGAGCGCGGCCGGACCCCGCGCGGGCCCCGCCCGCAAAGACGGGCTGACCTTGGGAGGCGCCCACCCCGGGGCCGGCCCGCGCCCCCCGACGGGGAGGCGCCCGCGAGGCCCGGGAGCGCCAGCGCCCGCGCGCGGCCGAGGCGGGCCCGACACCCCGGCCGCCGGCGCCCCCGCCCCGGCCGGCCCCGCCCCCCGGGACCGACCCGCGGGTTAGGGAGCGTCGGCACTTCCCCGCCCGTCGGTCCTGCGGGCGGGCGCCCGGCCTTTTGTACGGGGCCAGCTCATTGGGCGGCTTCGAAGGACGCCCCGCCCAGGGCCCGGTGCCGGCCAATAGCGAGGGGTTTCACAGGGCGCCGCACTCGGGGGAGCGTCACCGTCCTGCGACGCTGCGGGGATCCTTAGGCCTCAGTGCTCTTTGCCCCCCGGCCCCGGGCCCTACCCCCCAGAAGACCCCCGGGGCCCCTGCCCGGAGCGCGGAGCGCGGGGCATCCGGGGAGCCCTCGGGGATCTCGGCCTCCCCCGGCCCCCGCGGCCGGCCGGCGTGTCCTCGAGTGGGCGCACGCCTCGCGAAGGGGAGTTTGCAGACGCTCCCTCACTCCGGGGACGCGGCTCCTTTAAGGGCGCAGGTGTCCGGGGCGCCGCCTGACTGAAAAGTCGGCCCCCCGGCCGGGCTCCCCGGCCGGGCCCGGGGCGCGGGCGCGCGGCGGCGCGGGCGGCGCGGGCGGCGCGGGCGGCGCGGGCGGCGCGCGGCGGCGCGGGCGGCGCGGGGCGCGGGGCGCGCGGCGGCGGCGGCGGCGGCGCGCGGGGCAGGCGCGCGGCGGGCCGCCCCTGCTAGGCCCCGCCCGCCGGGGTCCTCGGGGCGCTCGGGCTGCGCGCGGAGCGGGCTCCGGAGGGAAGTCCCGAGACAAAGGAGCGCCGCCGCCGCCGCCCTGTCCCCGCGCCTGCCGGGCCGTGGCCGCCGAGGTGAGCGCGGCGGCGGCGGCGCGCGGGCGGCGGCGGGGCCGGGCGCGGGCGGGGGGCGGCCGGGCGCGGTCCCCCGCGGCCGGGCGGGGCCGCGGCTGCGCCGGCGCTGGCGCCGGGCCCGGGCCCGGGCCGGGTCCGCCGGGGCCCCCGCGCCGGGCGGGGCGCGGGGCGCGGGCCCGGCGCCGACCTGGGCGCGGCCCGGGGGCGCGGGGGCCGGCGGCGGCGGCGGGATCGCGGCCCCGGCGCCCGCCCGCGCCCTCCCGCGGCCGCCAAGTTCCGCGCGTGAGACTCGCGGCTCCGGGCCGCGGCCGGGCGAGGGGACGCGCCTGCGGGGCGCGGGGGCCGGGGCCGGGGCCGGGCGGCGGCCGGGGGCGGGGCGGGGGGGGCGCGCGGGCCCCCCTGCGGAGCAGCGCGCGGGGCGGCGAGACGTGCGGGCCCCTGGGGTGCCCCCGGCCTCCGCGGCTCCAGGCGGAGGTGCATGAGGGCCGCCCCCGGCTCCCCGGGGCGCCTCCGAGGCTTTTGGTGCCCGCGGGGCCGCCAGCTGGCCCTGCCCCCCAGGGGCGCCCGCGGCGGGGCTGGCCGGCCCGCGGGCAGGTGGCCCTCAGCGTCCTCCTGCCGAGACAGCGCCCCGGCCTCGGTGTCCAGCGCGGCCTCCCCTGCCTCCCGGTCTCGGTCACCCAGCGCTCCCGCCAGCTCCCGTCTGCTCTGCTCTGCCCTGGCGCGGGGGCCTGGGCCCCACTCGGGACCTGGTAGGAGGGCAGGGGTGCCCCGGGGCAGTCTGGGGGTGCGGAAGCCTCGTGCAGGGGCAGAACCTTGGACGGCAGCTCCTGCCCGACCCTGTTAGGCCAGAGGAGCCTGCGGCGGCCCCTTCCTGGTCCTCCCCGCAAGCTGGTCGCTCCGGCTCCCCTGCCCCAGGGCAGCCTGGCTTGGGTGTCCCCCTCCCCAGAAGGGAGGAACCTGGGGGGGGGGCCCTCCCCACTACCGCCTTCACCTGGCGCTGGGCAAGGGGAGGGCCTGTGGCCACTCCCTCACCTGAGGCCTGGGGTCGGCCTCCCAGCGCAGACGGGCTTTTCTCGAGAGGTGCCCCTCGGGAGGGCCTGGACCTTGGGGTCTCGTCCCCGTTTCCTGAACCCGGGCTCTAGGTGGGTCTGGGCACCGTCCTGCCCCTGACCCCACAGTTCCTCAGACAGAGTGGGGGGAGGGCCATGGGAGCTGGACAGGACTTGGGGGGGGGGGCTGCAGAGCAGGAGCACCGCCCACCCGATGCCCATGCAGCCCCCATCCGTTGGGGTTGCTTCTCAGGCACGTTCTGCAGGGTTCCTCTTTCACCTCCTAGATGGTATGGTTCTGGGGGGGGGGGCGGGCTGGCACACGGGGTGGCAGCCACAGGGCGGTCTGTCCAGTCCCCAGACCCAGCTGGCAGCAGCTGCCTGTGTTGCAGGCACCTCGGTGCTGGGCAGAGGGGTGGCCGCTGCCCTTCAGGCTGCCGGTCACCACTCAAGGGATCGCCCACCCCCATCAGCACGACGGCCGCTCCTGCAGGACAGGACAGGGCTGGGCCGGCCACTGGGGGAGGGCTTGGCGGTGCCCCTCTGTGCGGCTGCCCGCAGGGGGCGGTCTCTGAACCTTACTGGCCCTTAACAGTGCCTCCCCCAGAATAAGTGGCGGTGGGGCCTTGGGGCGCCAGTGGGCTCTGGGCTAGCTGTGGGGTCGGGGGTCTGGGCGCAGCCTGTGGACCTCCCTGCCCGGCAGACACACAGTCCTGCCGCCAAGCTGGGGCTCCCAGTGCCCTGCAGCCCTGCCCAGCGGAGAGAGCCGCCACCGCTACCCTGCGGGCTGTCCTGGAGCCCGGGGTGCGGGGGAGCCCCTCACGGCTCTGCCCTCTCCCCCAGGGACCTGCCGAACATGTCGGGGATCGCCCTCAGCAGACTCGCCCAGGAGAGGAAGGCCTGGAGGAAGGACCACCCCTTTGTAAGGCGGCGCCCCAGGAGGGTGAGCGGGCGGGTGGGCGCCACAGGGCACTGACGGCGTGTCCCTGCAGGGCTTCGTGGCCGTGCCCACCAAGAACCCCGACGGCACCATGAACCTTATGAACTGGGAATGCGCCATCCCGGGCAAGAAGGGGGTAAGGCCGCCATCCCGGGCAGGGAGGGGGTAAAGCTGCCGGCCTGGGGGGGCCAAGGGAGTGCGGGCGCGAGTCTGGACGCCTCGGAGCTCAGCTGTGGCGCTTCGGGGGGCCGGGGCTGCCCCATCTGCCCTGCTGAGGCCCGCGCGCACCGGCCTTGCAGGGCGGCCCCCGGCGGGGTGCTGGGGTCCCCGGGCCGGGCCGCTGGCCTTCCCCGAAGCCCTGCCGCTCCGGGGCGCTGGGCTCAGCCGCGCTTGGTCCCGCAGACCCCTTGGGAAGGCGGCCTGTTCAAGCTGCGCATGCTCTTCAAAGACGACTACCCGTCCTCGCCGCCCAAGTGTGAGTAGCCGCGGGGCCTGCGGGGCACCGGTGTGTCTGGGGGGCAGCGGGCGGGCGTCTCTGGGCGCCGAGGGGGGCTGCGGTCACCGCAGCCAGGTGGGGTCGGGGCGGCGCGGCTCCCGTGAGGCCGGCCGGGTGCGGGCAGGGCTGCGCGAGGGCAGTCGGGGAGGCGGGCGCGGCGGCTCCCGCGGGATTCTGGCGGGCGGGCGCGGAGCCCGTCCCGTGGGGCGGCGCTGCTTCTGGGCGGGCAGGGCCTGGCGTCCCCAGACGGCGCCGGGGCGGGCAGCGGAGTTGGGGGGGGGCTCACGGGAGCCCAGCCGAGCTCCACCGCGGGGCGGGTGGGGGGCGGGGGGTGCGCCCTTGCCGAGAGACGAGATCGACGGGGCAGGTGAAGTTCACACTCTGGAGTTGGGCTCTCGAGGCGTGAGGCTGGATGGGCGGGGGGCGCTTGGGGGTGACGCGAGGGCGTGCGGGGCCGCCGGGCAGAGCGCGCCTGCTTGCTGGGGCAGGTGGGGGGGGGCTGGCGAGCGCGGGCAGGATCGGGGCCACCTGAGGCGTCCGCTGCGGGGCGGGAAGGCGGTGGGGAGGCCAGGCCTCGAAGCGGGTGCCGTCGACGCGCCCCTTCGGACTCGGGGGCCTCCTGGGGCGTTGCGGGGTCCAGGGTCTCAGCGCGGTGGGCCCCGGCCCGGGCAGCTCTCCCGCCCCCCGCGTCGTGGGCTACAGGCCTGTCCTGGTTTCTCTCCGACCAAACTTGCCCTCCGAGGCAGGCGCGCGGGTGCCGGAGCCCGGCGGGTGACCAGGACGGCCCCTGGGAAGCGGCCCCTGGGGGCCGGGCGAGGCGCAGGCCCTGCAGCCGCCCGACCGCCGCCCTGTCCTCGGCACAGGTAAATTCGAGCCACCGCTCTTCCACCCCAACGTGTACCCCTCGGGCACCGTGTGCCTGTCCATCCTCGAGGAGGACAAGGACTGGAGACCCGCCATCACCATCAAGCAGGTACGCGCCGCCGCCCGGCCGGGCCCCGCGGGCGCGGGGAGCAGCCGGCCCAGCCCGCCCGTGTGTCTCCGCAGATCCTGCTGGGCATCCAGGAGCTCCTGAACGAGCCCAACATCCAGGACCCCGCGCAGGCTGAGGCCTACACCATCTACTGGTGAGCAGTGCCGGCGGGGCCGGGGGCCGGGGGGCGGCATGCCGGCCGCCTGTCCTGGCGGGCCGTGGTGTGCCCGGGAGCCCGCAGCGCTGCCGGCCTGGCGCCGGCCCAGGGTCCCCATCACGGCCCGTGTGCACCGTCTGCAGGGGGACCTGGAGTGGCCTGTGGCCGGGTTGGGCTCCGACCCACGCTCCCGGCCTGGAGGCCCTTTGGGGGGAGAGGAGCAAGTGGACTTGGGCCTGACCCCGCGGCCCTGTGTCTGGTCCCCGCCTGCTGGGGCAGGGGTCAGGGACAGCCGACCGTCCTGGAGGGGCTGCGTGCGGCCTCTGCTGGCCCTAGTGTGGCCTCGCTCGTGGCCTGCAGCTCCACGCAGCCCGTCCCTGGCCGGAGCTGGAAAGGTGCCTGTGAGGGGCTGGACGCTTCGGGCCTCGCTTCTCCAGAAGGGCCGGGCTGGGTCAGGGCCCCTTCAGCCTGGGGTCTGGCGACCCGACGCCTCCGGGCTCCCGTGGGCCCCTGGGTTGGCATGCCTGGCACCAGGTTCGGCGCAGGGCAGGCTCCTGCCCCTTGGTGCAGCGCAGCGGCCTCCCCGGGGGGGCAGATGGAGACCCAGGCGCCGAGCCCGTTGACCTCAGTGGGGCAGCCTCTGCGGCCGCCTTCATCCCTCTGACCTGGGAGCTCCCGTGGGGCCTGGGCCGGGCTGCACGCGGGTCCCAGACTCACAGCGGCCCCGGCCGGAGGACCCACTCGCGTCCCCAGGCCCCCGAGCCGCACAGGCAGCGCCGGCCTCCCCGGGGCCCGCGCCGTCCCCAAGGGGGGCCCTGGGGAGCTGCGAGGCTTGTGTGTCAGGCGAGCGCGGGGCGGGCCGAGCCGGCCTGTCGGAAGCAGCGGCCCCCAGCCCAGGCCCGGCGCGGCGGGCGGGCGCGGCCCTAACGCTCTCCCTTGGCCCCCCAGCCAGAACAGAGTGGAGTACGAGAAGAGAGTTCGCGCGCAGGCCAAGAAGTTCGCGCCTTCATAAGCGGCGGCGGCGCGTGGCAGGAAGGGATTGGTTTGGCAAGAACTTGTTTACACACTCGGCAGACCTGAGGCTGCTCTGCGCGGCCGCCGGCCCCCTGGGCGGGCGGCGTCTCCGGCGCCGTCCAGCCGCCGCGACGCCCGCTTTTCATACAGGGTCTCTTCCTTCCGTCTTTTGTATTTTTGATCGTTCTGTAAAACTTGCTTTTATTTTAATATTGATGTCAGTATTTCCACTGCTGTAAACGATAAACTTTTCTACCTGGATGAGCCGTGGACGCAGGCATGCTCCCGCCGCCGCCGGGCCTGGGCCGCGCCGCTTCGAGCGTCCGATCCAAAGTCGCCGCATCGTTCGCGCCACCTCCTCTGTGCTTCTCTGGCGTTTGTCTGTGTTGCTGTTTAGAGTAAATAAACTGTTTCTATGAAGGTCTCTGTTGCGTATCGTCATTGGCGGCCGGCGGCGGCCGGCTGCGCCCGCCCTGCCGGCCCGGACGGCGCCAGACCTCACCTCGCAGCGCGTCCCGTGGGCCCAGCCCAGGGAGGACCCACGCCCGCCTGCCGGCCTCCGCGCGGGCCCGCCCCGACGCCCAGCTGCTCCTGGAAGAGCCGCCGGCGCCGCGTGGAGACGAAGGAGCAGAGGGACAGGCCGGGTCCTGGCCCGCGCAGCCAGCCCCACCCTGGACTGGCTGTTGGGACGGACCGTGTGGACGCGCCCGGAGCGGGCACCTGCAGCCGGCCCGGAGAGGGCGGTGGGCGGGCGGGCAGGCACCGGGGCCTCCCAGGATGTCTTATTTTGTATCGATCGACGCCCGCCTAGTTTAGCTGCCCCCGTTCGGGCTTGATGTATGTGGAGATCCGTGTATTTCCTAGTCCGAGCATTCCACAGCGCCCGGCGCTTCCGGCACGTCGTCGTGACTTCGGCTCCTGAGATGTCCTTCTGCGCCCGCCCCTGGCTTAGCAGACACGCGGCTCCTGTAACACGAGCACCGGGGAGCGGGGTGCCGCCTGCCGTGCGGGGCAGCCCTGCCGGGCTGGGACCAGCCGCTGTACCCCAGAAGCCTGCAATTAAAGCATTTCCACGAGCCGTCGCCTCCAGTCCTTTCGCGCCTCCAGCCTGGGCCCTCGGGGCTGGGTCAGCTGCTGCCCCACTGAGCCCGGGCGTGTCCCTGGCAGCCCGCCCTCCCTGCTGGGCCAGGTGTCCACACCGAGGCGGCTGCCCTTCCCGGGTCCTCGAGCCCTGGGGTGCTGTTCCCAGGGCCGTCTCCCAGCCCCTGGGGCTCAGGTGGCAGTGGACACAGCTGCAGGACCCACTCGCTTCCCCTCACTGTCCAGCCGGAGCCAGCCCCGCATCCTCAGTCCTGCCCACTGCGTGTGGCCGCCTCCAGCGCTGACCTGGCAGAGGCCCGCCCGCCAGCAGCAGCCCAGGGGCAGCCTCCAGTTTGAGGTTGCCATGGCAACGCATCCCCAGGTTGGAGGGCCTGAGCACTGCTTGGGCTGGCTGGAAGCGGTCTGAGCTGGCTCCATCCAGCAGGGAGGGGCCAGCAGGGCTGGGCTGGATGGACCCCCAGCTGGCTGGGGCTGAGTCTGGGTGAGGCCTCCGACTGGCCCATCTGTGGGGAGGGGGCCCAGGAGCTGGTGCAGCCGCAGCCGGAGGGAACTGGACCCCGGCCCCGACCTGAGGATGCTCCTGGCGTTGGGCATTTTTGCTGATGGGCCTGGCCCTGTCCTGCTTGGGCCCTGCCCCCGAGGGGACCCTCCTGAAGAGAGGGGCCTCATACACCCACCCCTTGGCCAGAAGCTTGTGACAGGCCCAATGGACAGCCCTGGGCAGCCAGGCTGCCCGGCCTCATGGAAGCCAGCAGAGCTCTGGCACTCTGGGGTTCTGCCCCTCCTTCCCGCCCCGCCCCGGCCCTGCTGGTGGCACAGACGGGCAGATACCAGCAGCCTTCGGGACCCTGGCCTGGGCCGGGCCTGCCCTCTGCCGGGTGCTGGTGCTGTCTGACTGGGAGGCTGGGCCTGCAATTCCCAGGGCTGCCACCCGAGGGCAGTGGTGCTGCTTGGGCGCAGGACCTAGCCACAGCCCTCACCCCGGCGCTGAGGAGGACGTCCCCCCACCTGCCAGACCCTTCCCAGCCCAGGGGCGTGAACCCCCCAGCCCCCCAGCCCACCAGGCCCACAGCCCTGACCCCCGCCAGGCAGGTGCCCTGTGCTGTAATAGGACCGAGAGGCGTGTGCTCTGCACGGCCGCCCCCACCCTGTCACGGCGGCTGCCTCAGTCTCAACCGCATGGGGCCGGGCCGGCAGCACCAGCAGGGGCGGCTGCCCTGGCCCTCCGTTGTGCGGCAGCAGGAGCCCTGGAGGCCAGAGGCCACCCCAGCGTGGTCACTGCTGCGATCTTCACTTTACAAATTGGGGAAACTGAGGCCTGAGGCAGTGGAGGGGTGTGAGGTCCAACCCAGGGAGCGGCTTCATTCTCCTGATGGCTGGGGAGGAAGGAGCAGGGCAGGCAGGCCCCGGCTCACTGGCAGGCAGGGCTCGTGGAGGCAGGGGCCCTGGGGAAACTGAGGAGCAGGACGGGGCGCGGCACCAGCCTGCTGTCGTGGGGCCCTGGATGGGCTCTTCCCCTACCTGGGCCTCGGTACCCCTCTCCAGGTAAAGGACTGTCCTGCCCGGCCGGCTTCGGGGTTAGTCTTCACACCTGCCCTGGCCGGGCCCTGGTCCCCGGGGGCCTGAGCAGCAGCACCCCCAGGCAGCCGCCCTCCCACTTCCTGTTGACAGCAGCTGCAGTCTCATCTCTGCACCCCAAACTCATTATCATCACCATGGCAACCAGCCCTGTTTGTTCAACAGGTTGGCAGAACCTGACGCAAGACTGCAGGGCCAGGCCCAGGGGCGCTGGCCAGAGCCCGGCGGGAGCCCAGGGCCGGACAAGGGCCGGACAGGGCCCAGACCGCCCTGCCCGCCCCTCCCCACCGCGCTTGCTGCATTTCCTGGAGCCCCCACCCCTGGCCTGGCTGGGCTGGTCCGGCGCCGCGAGCCCGGGCTGAGCTGACCCAGGTGGGGCTGGGTGTGGGTGCTCGTCAGCCAGAAGCCGCACAGGCGGTGCCTGGCAGGGGGCGGCCGGCGCCGGCGCAGGAGAAGCCAGCTGGTGCTGGCCAGGTGCCGGCCTGCTGCCCCCACCCGCGAACCCCGCGGGGCGTGCTGGGCGCCTGGCCAGGCTCGGGTGCCCTCTGCACCTGCTCCGTGCAGGAGCCCGTCTGGCCCTGGGGCCTCCCCTCAGCTCAGCTGACCGCTGGCCTCGCCCAGCCGGCCGGCCTTGCCCGTAGCCGAACCGGTCAGTCCCCCACGCTGCCCGGAGGCCCGCTGGCCAGGACAGCCAGGCCCTTGGGGATGGAAACATCCAAACCACCCTGACCCTCCAGGTGAAGGGTCCAGGGAGGGCCCAGCAGGGCCACCAAGGGCCCGTGGGGACCCAGGGAGCCGTGCGCCCGGGACGAGCCTGGACCCCGGACTCAGGGTCTCCGCTGCAGCACAGGCCTCCTGGCCTCGGCTCGTGAGAGGCGGGGGCAGGTGCAGGGCACCCAGGCTGTGGCTCCGGGGGGCCTGCCCGGGCGGGGCGGGCCAGGGGCCCACCTGGGCTTCCCTGTCTCACCTGCGCTGTGGGCACCACGGGCAGTCAGGCTTGGCTAGGGGGAGGCCTGCCCCTGGGGGGCGCTCCCTCCCTCCTGCCACCCCCCCCGCCCCCCCCCCAGGTCCCCAGGCCGCTGCCCGAGGCAGGGGCAGCGCGGGGCGGCGGCGACGGGGGCGGGGCACGGCCTTGGGGGAGTCCGGCTGGGCGCCCTCGTGCCGGCGCAGCGAGCCCGGCTTGCGGGGGCTCAGGGGTTCAGGGCTGGGGGCCGAGGACCCTCCGGGCCGAGCCCGCTGCCCGCCCCGCCCAGCTGCGGGTGCCCGACGGGCGAGCGCCTCGGCCCGGATCCCGGCCCTCCTGGGGGGCGGCCGGGGCTGCAGGTGCCCGCCGGCCCCAAGGGGGGGACGGGGCGGAGCGAGCAGCCCGGCGCCGCCCCCGCGCGCCCCCCGCCCGCCGCGCCGCGGAGCTCGGCCGCCCAGTCGTCGGCGCGCGCGGCTGCGAGCGGAGCGGCCGCTGTCCCCGGCGCCCAGGACCCCGCGCCGGCCGCGGTGAGTGGCGCCGTCGAGGCGCGGCCGGCCCCGCTCGGGCGCCGGACACCGGGCGCCGCGCCTCCCGCGGCCCGGCGAGGGGGCGGCGGAGGGCGCGGGAGGCTCGGGCCGGGACCGAGGCCGGCGGCGGCGTCTGGGGCCGCGCCCCTCCCCGCCCGGACGCGGGGACCCCCGGCGGGCGGGGGCCGGGGAGTCGCGCAGGGAGTGCGGGCATCGGCGGCCCCGCCCCGCCCGTCCAGCGCCCCCCAGAAGGCGCAGGTGACCCCGCGGAGGCCCAAGACGCCAGACGCGCCACGGGGTTTCCCAGGCCACCCCTGGAGATGCCCCGATGTCCCGCGCCCCCTGCCCGCCGGGACCCCTCAGTCTCTCCAAGCCCGCCCGCCCTCAGCCCCTCCCCGAAACACACCCCCGGCCCTGCACCCCGCCCGGCGGCCAGAGAGCGCGGCAGAGCCGGGGGAGCCCCGGCTGCGCGGGGACCACAGCCCGCCCCTGGAGAGGGGGTGGCCGGGAGGGGTCCCCAAGAGCAGTCGGGGGAGGAGCCGGGAGGGGGCCGGGAGGAAGGACGCCCTGGGGACCCCTCGCCCTGCTTCACCCACTCTGGCCCCTCAGACCTGGCAGAGCGCCCCGGGCGCTCCCTGGGGATGAGACCTCGGGGGGCAGCGCTGGGCCTGCCAGGTGACCCTCAGGGGGCCCGGCCACAGCTGTGGACAGAGCGGCGCCGTCTGGGAGTCCACGAGCCCGGGAGGGCTGGTGGGGGCAGGGTAGGGAGAGGGGGGCCGCCACACCCCACACCCGAGCAGGTGGGGCCGGGCTTTAGGTCAGACGCCCCGAGGCGCCCGGCGCTGCCTGCGCTGACTTGGCGCCCGGCCCCCCCCCCCCCCCGCCGCCCCGCAGCGGAGCCCCCCGGGGCAGGGGCCGGGCGGCCGCAGTGGGGCCGGCTGCGGAGCGGGGCCAGGTCGGCGCGGCCCGGCGGCCCAGGACTCGCAGGGACACGGAGGCGCTGCCGGGCACCCGCGGGGAGCTGCCCTCCCGGACACGCCTCGGCCCAGGCTGGGGAGCAGGAGCCGGCAGGGCGCCCCGGGCGCTGGACCCCGGAGCCCGCGACGAGCCAGAAGCCAGTACCCGGGCCGGAGCCAGAGACCTGGGCGCGGCGGCCCCGGGGCCCCCGCAGGCCGCCCCCAACGGCGCTGCCCACCGCGGCCGGCCCGCGGCGGCCCAGCTCCTGCGTCACGTCTGTCCGTGGGAGCGAGCCCGGGGCCACAGGCTGCGCTGGCGTTGCCCTGGCAACAGCTCAAGCGGCTCCGCTCCCCTGGCTCTGGGGGCTCCGCTGGAGGGGGCGGGGCCTGCGCCTCCAGCCCCGGAGGGGGCGCTGCGGGGCCTGACGCCCCCCAGGCGGCCCCTCCTGTCCAGGGAGCCCTCCGGGCCCAGCACCCCCTGGCTCCCGCGCAGCGGCTCATCCCGGCCGGATGAGGTCTGGGGGTGACCTGAGCTGGGGGGTACGGCCTGGGGAGGCCACCGAGCTGGACACGACAGACCCGGGTGGGGCAGCGCTGCTCACACAGAGCCTGGTGCCCGGGAAGGCCCGCCTGCTGGCCGGGGGGCGGCGGCCGAGAGGAGGCAGCGCAGGCTAGAGGAGACGGGGACCGCGGGGGCGGGCGGCGCCCCCACCAGCCCCTGGGAGATTTGGGGCAAGGATCAGGCTCCGGGGATTCCTCATGTCCCGCCCGTCAGATGGAGGCCTGTGGCCGGCGGCCGGCCCCGAGTTCGGGGGGAGGCCTGGGCCCCAGCGGCTCAGCTGCCTCTGCCTGGGGGACAGAGGCCCCCGCACGAGGCTGGGAGAGGGGCTGGGACAGAGGCCTCTCCCCAGGCAGCGGGAGCCGAGGGAGGGGCGGTTGGGGATGTCCGGAGCGCCCGGCCCAGCCGGACAGGCAGGGGGCCTGTCACCCCGAGGTGTCCACACCAGATCCCGGCTCCAGCCCCCGGCCGCGGCCCCGGTCGCTCCAGGGGACGCCGCGGAGCCCGGTCCCGCAGCCTCGCCGGGGTCCCGGTGACACGGCTCTCCGCGCAGGCCCCGCCATGTCGGCCTTGCAGGGCCTCAAGAGCAGCGTGCTGCGGCAGCGCCCGTCCCTCCGGCGCCGCGCCGAGGAGGAGCCCGGCCGCGCCCTGGTGGACCCGCCGGCCACGGGAGCCTGGTGCGTGCCCGGCCGCGCACGCTCGGCCCCTCGGGCCTCCAGCGCCTGCTGCTCCCACTCAGCTGCCCGGCTCAGGGCGGCGGGCGGCGGGCGCTGCGGCTGCTGGTGCGGGGGGCGGCCGCCGGCCCCACGCCACCCTGGCCCTCTCCCTCAGGACGCCCGCGGGCGGCGCCGAGTTCTTCGCCCACATGCGCCTGGTGCTGCGGAAGGGGGACGGCAGACGGTGCCTGCCGCGTCCCGAGGTGAGGCCGGTGCTGCCCCGGCGGCCGTGGGCCGGCCCCCTCCCCCTCCCGCTCCCCCTGGGCATCCCGGCCGGCCGCCACACCCGCCCGGAGTGACCCTGCCCGGCCCCACAGGTCCTCCTGCGCAGCAGCTCACCAGCTCCCGCGGAGCCTGTGGACCCCGCTCGCGGCCTGAGGGCGCTGACCCCCGAGGAGGTAGGGGGGGCCAGCGGGAAGGGGAGCCCCTGCGGTGCGCTTGCCCCGGGGCTGGGGACGGGGGCCGGCCAGCAGCAGGGCCGGCTCAGCAGGTGCCAAGGCACTGAGGCGGCGACTGGGCCTGGCTGGTGCGGGAGCTGCCAAGGCTGGGGGCCGGGCCCACAGCAGGTGGACGCCGGGCACCCAAGGCCCCCGCGGCCGGGCTCAGCGTGGCCGCCCGCAGGTGGAGATGCTCTACGAGGAAGCCTTGTACACGGTCCTGCACCGAGCGGGCGCCATGGGCCCTGACCAGGTGGACGACCAGGAGGCCCTGCTGGAATACCTGCGGCAGGTGAGTGCCGCCGGCCCCGCCCCCGGCCCGCCCCCGGCCCGCCCTGCTCTGGGGGCTGAGACCACTCCCAGCAGCGACCCCGCTGCGGTCCCCAGCAACCCCCAACACTCAGTCCGCGCCGTACACACACGTGCTGGGGGCAGCAGCAGGCAGGGCAGGGCACGGGCAGCGCTGGCACGAAGGTCCAGACAGGCCACACGAAGGGCAGGGAAGGGCAGGCGATAGGCAGGACAGAGGTCCCCCCAGCTCCCGCCATGGGCCTCTGCCTCGAGGCTCCGGCTGCAGCCCGGCAGTGACCAGGCCGCGGCCCCCAGGTGTTCGGCGCCAGCCCCGAGGAACACGCCGTGGCGCTGCAGCGGGCACAGGACAGCAAGGTGAGGCGCGCCCGGGGTCCCGGCGCTGGGGTGGGCGAGGCCCCGGAGGCCTCAGCGCCCCTCCTTGCAGGCCCCCACGTACGTCCTGAAAGTCTCTGTCATGCGGGCCAAGAACCTGCTGGCCAAAGACCCCAACGGTGAGTGGCCGCCCCTTGCCCGTGTGGCACGGGCCTGGTGGCCGGGGCAGGGTCCAGGCGGGCGCTGAGTGTGCCCTGTGCCCCAGGCTCCAGCGACCCGTACTGCGTGCTGGGCATCCTGCCGGCCTCGGGTGCCCCATGGGAGGCCGCCCGGTACCCGCAGCAGCGCTCCCGCCTCCCCAAGGGCAGCACGCGCGGCGGCCCCCTGCCGGCCAAGTGCGTCCAGGCCACGGCGGTCCAGAGCAGCACCCTGAACCCCGTCTGGACGGAGCACTTCCTCCTGTAAGGCCCGCGCCCAGCGCCCCCGCGCCACGGTCTGGGTGCATGTGGGGGCTGTGGCCACCGGGGACGGCTCGCCGCTGCTCCCAGCCAGTCCAGAGGGGACCTGGGAGCCCGAGGCTGGGAGTCCGTGGCCACCTGCCTGCGCTGGACAGAGCCCACACCCCTCACGGCACCCCCTGTCCTCACAGTGAAGTCGAGGACGTCCGCACAGACCAGCTGCGACTGGACGTCTGGTATCAGCCCCTGTGCCTGTGGGCCCCTGGCCGGGGACGGGGGGGAGCGGGAGGCCCAGCGCTGGCCGGGCCCCAGACGTGCTGCCCGCAGGGACCACGACGATGACGTCTCCCTGGTGGAAGCGTGCCGGAAGCTGAACCAAGTCATCGGCCTAAAGGGCATGGGCAGGTAGGCAGGCGGCCCCCAGCGGTGCCGTCCAGGGCACGTGACCCCAGGGCACCAGCCTGGCCACAGGTCCGCAGGTGTGATTCCGCCCCCCGTGCCAGGTACTTCAAGCAGGTGGTCAAGGCAGCCCGCACAAATGGCCCGGCAGGGGCCGGTGAGGACCACACGGATGACTTCCTGGGGCGCCTGGACATCCCCATCCGGGTGAGGCTGCACCCCGCATGTGCTGGGGCTGTGCCCCTCGATGCCTCGGCTGTGGGGGCTCTGCAGGATGGAGGGCCTCCCCCCAGCACCTACCCCGTGCAGGGTCGCCTGGCACTGGGAGGCCGAGGCCCATGTACCCCATGACCCACCGTCTGGGAAAGCGGCCGAGGGGTGACCAGTCTGAACCCCTCCCCCAGGAGGTGCCCGTGGCCGGGGTGGACCGCTGGTTCAAGCTGGAGCCCCGCTCCAGCGCCTCCCGCGTGCAGGGGGACTGCCAGCTGGTCCTCAAGCTGATCACCACGCAGGTGGGAAGCCCACCTGCACCCCCGTGCCCTGCCCCGCTCCCCTTCACCAAGCATCCCGTCCTGCACCCCCGCCCTGCATGCCCCCTCCCTGCACCTTGCCAGGGGGCTGGGCAGGGCTGACCGCAGGCCCCGCCTTCCAGAGGGACACGGCCCTGAGCCGGCGGGGCAGGCCCGGCTTCCTGTCCTACCTGCTGCTGCTCAGCCGTCTGCTGCAGTTCGAGCACCTGGCTGAGGAGGTAGCGGCACCCCGGGGTGGTGGGGAGGCCAGGCCCCGGCGGGGGGGACCGGCCACCCAGCCCCACCACGCCTGGCCCGCTCCGCAGCCCAACCCCGGCGGCTGGCGCGGCGAGCTCAGCGGGCCTGCGGCCACCGTCCTCTGCCTGCTGGGCGCCCAGAGCGACCTGTCCGCGCTGCAGCTGGCGGTGCTGTGAGTGGGCGGGGCCGGGGCGGGGCCGCGAGGGGCGGGGCCGGAAGGAGTCGCGACGGGTGGGTCCGCGAGTGGGCGTGGCGGTGGGCGTGGCCGCCAGGGTGGGACAAAGGCAGGTGTTGGGTGGATGGGGCGGGGCCCTGCGGGCGTGGCCGCGTGGGCGTGGCCGGGGCGTGGCCGTGGGCGGGGCCCTGAGTGGGCGGGGCCGCGGTGGGGCCCATGGACAGGTGGGGCCGGGGTGGGCGGGGCCGTGGGCGGCCGGGGCCGGGGCGGGGCCGGGGCGGGCCCGTGGGCGGGTGGGCGGGGGGCAGGGGCAAGGGCAGGGCGTGAGAGAGCCGGCTCTTGGGGGCGGGCTGCAGCACCCCCGGGGGTGTTCCGAAGTTGCTGCCACCCCCCTGACCCCAGGCTGGGTCCCCACAGGCACTGGCAGGTCAGCAGCCGCCACCACCAGGCCCGCACCTTGGACTACGGCTACCTGCTGGGGCTGCTGGAAGACGTGCAGGCGCACTGGGAGGAGGCCGCCTCCCTGCCCCAGGAGCAGGTGGGCACCGCCGCGGTGGCCGCAGATGCTGCTCCTGGGGTGTCCTGAGGCCCATAGCGGGCGGTCAGCGAGGAACGGGGCGCTGCCCTCGTGGTCACCGTGGGGGCTGGGGAGCTGGGAACCAAGGGACAGCCGATCGAGGCCGGGCAGCGCCGCGCCTGGAGCCCCGGGGCCAGCGGCCTGCCCGCCCAGGGTCCCGAGAGGCAGATAGGGCGCGCTTGGCAGGGGCAGGCCCGTGGGGTTGGAGGTTTCGGGGCAGAGAAACCTGCAGGGCCAATCCTTGCGGGATTGCTCGGCCGCCGAGAGGTAGCCGGCGGGGTGACCGAGGGCCTGCCCCCAGGAGGAGAGCCTGGCCGACAGCTTCTCCACCTTCGCCGAGTTTGGGCTGGGGCTGCTGAGCCAGCTCCGAGACTACTTCCCCGCCACCAACAGCACGGCCGTCGACCGCCTGGAGCTGCTGCTGAAGTGGGTGCCGCCTTGGGGTGTGGGCTGCGGGGAGGGGCTGCCTGGGACAGCGCCAGGCAGCAGATGGCCCCTCGCCCAGGTGTCTTGGCAAACTGCAGCTCTTCCAGCCTTCCTCGGAGGTCTGCCCCTTCAGGACGGGGCTAAACATGGACATCGCTGGAACCCTAAAGGTGCGTCAGGCCACTGCCTCCTGGCCAAATGCCCGGCCCTGCCCCGCCCCGCCCGCCCCGCCCAATCTGCCAGCGGAGAGAGGCTCTCCGCCCGCTTCCTCCCACCTGCTGCTTCCCTGGCAGAGAGGCAACCGCGAATGGTACGACAGGCTCCTGAACGCCAAGAGTCCTCGGGAGCAGGTGGGGCTCAGAGGTGCGGCCAGGGCGGACCACAGGGCCCTGGGCGTGTGCCGAGGTCAGCGCCAGCCTGGGTCCTTGCCTTGCAGCCGGGGCCGCAGCGCCTTGCCGGGCTGGTCGCACTGGCCGATGCCGTCTACGACGACCTGCAGTCCTGCTATGGCATCTACGCCGGCCTCTTCCACAGGTGGGCGCAGGGCTTCTCCTGGCGCTCCTGGGGCTGCAGGGGCTGCCTGAGGACAGGTGCTCCAGGTGTGTCTTTTGCAGCATCAAGATCGACATCTTCACCCTCACCTTCCGGCAGCTGGAGTGTCTGGTGAGGGGGCAGCGGGAAGCCCCATCCAGGAAGGGGCCGGGTCTCCCTGTTGCTGGCCGCCTGACCCCACCCTCTGGGCAGGTGGCTGAGGAGGCCTGGGTGCTCGCAGAGGAGCTGAGCCCCAAGCTGACCCCCGAGGTGGCCTCGGCGCTCCTCGAGCTCTACCTGACCCTGGCGGACATCCAGCGTTTCTGGCGCTGCATCCCCGGCCGGTGGGCACTGCCCCCACCCGTTCCTCTCCTACCTGTCCCACCCCCTCACCTGTCCACCTTGTCCTCCCCTCCCTGTGCCTCTTCCCTAGTCCTCTCTCCCCTGCTCCCTTCCTCGCCAACATCCCCCTACCGTCCCCAACAGGAGGGGCCCGGGAGGGAGGCCCTGGGGCGAGCCCTGCTGGGCTGACCTAGAACACCCGGCTCAAGGTGAGACCCGGTGGGATCTGACTGGTCTCCCATGTAGGGACGGCCGCTCCCTGGCCCTGGCCGGCATCCACGAGCAGTTTCTGCCCGCCGTGAAGCTCTGGCTGCAGGCGCTGCGGGACCAGGCCAAGTGGCGGCTTCAGGGCGCCGTGGACGTGGACACAGTGAGTGAGGCCCTGCCCGGCATGCTGGGCTCACCTGGGGCCCCAGCCACAGGAGCTCCTCCTGCCTCCCCAGCTGGAGCCCACGGAGGCCTCCTCCAAGCACAGCAGCTCTGCGGCCACTGCAAGCCTCTGCTTCAGCCACATCCAGGAGCTCTGGGCCCGCTTGGCATGGCCGGACCCTGCCCAGGCCCGGGAACTGGGCGCCCAGCTCAGCCAGGTGCGGTTTCTCTGGGGGTGGGGACCGCAGCAGGGAGGCGCTCAGGGCCTGGAGGGGCGGCAGGGCCGGGGGACGAGGCCCCAGTTCCTGAGCACCCATCGCCCACCCCAGGACCTGGGTGAGGCGGCCCTTTTCTACACCGAGGTGCTGCGGAAGAAGGTGCACACCCCGCCCAGGGCGGTGGGCGAGGCGGCGAGTGAGCAGGTGAGCTGGCAGGTGGGAAGAGCGGGGCGGCTGGCGCCCACCCATCCTCGTCCGCTGCGGCTCTGTGGGGGAGGGCGGTGGCGGCTGGACCCTACCCATTCTGGCCCTCCCCAGCTCTGCGTGGTGCTCAACGACTTGGAGCTGGTGCGCAAGGCCGCCGGGCAGGCGCTGCGGGGCCTGGCCCCGCCGGAGGGGGCCCCGGGACCCCAGGGGTTGCTCCCGCGCCCCCTGCTCAGCTGCGCGCAGGCCCTGGAGGAGAACCTGCAGCAGGAGGCCGGCACCGTGACGGCACACCTGACCTCGCAGGTGGGCGGGGCGGGGGTGGGGCCGGGGCGCTGCTCCCTCACCCGCGCGGCTGAGCGCAGCCCCCCGCAGATGGCGGGCGACATCACGAAGTACGTGCAGCACGTCAGCCTCTCCCCGGACTCCATCCAGAGCGAGGAGGTGAGGCCTGTGGGGGCCGCTGTGCGCCTGGGGAGGCAGCGCGGGGCGTGGGGGCCCTGAGGACACCCCGTTGAGGACACCGCCCTGCAGGCGGCGGCCCCTCTCCTCAAGTACCTGGACGCGAAGCTGGTGCTGCTGAGCGCGGCGCTGGAGGAGGCGTGCCTGAGCAGGTGCGGGCCGGCGGGGGGGCGGGCGGGCGCGGGCGGGCTCGGTGCTCACGGTGCGCCCCCCGCAGGATGCTGGAGGCCCTCTGGGAGCTGCTCCTACGGGCCATCCTGCAGGCGCTGGGCGCCCACCGCGATGTCTCTGCCGACTTCTACAGCCGGTTCCAGTTCACGCTGGAGGTGAGTGCGGTGGCGCCGGCACCGCTGGCTGCAGCCCCTGCCTTGTCCACGCGGTGTGAGGGTGTCAGGGCCGCGCCCCTTGGGGCTCCCGTCGGCCCCATGTGAGCTCCCGCCGCCCGCCCCCCTCCCCGCTGCAGGCCCTGGTCTGCTTCTTCCACGCCGAGGGCCAGGGCCTGCCCCTGGAGTGCCTGAGGAACGGGAGCTACCAGGTGAGCCTGGCCGGGGCGCCCGGGGGAGAGGGTGTGCACGGGCGCGCAGCAGGGGCCAGCGGACCTGCCGGGGCCCCCACCTGCCCCCTGTGCCCCCAGAGACTGGAGGAGGAGCTGCGCCTGCACCGGTGTTCCGTGCGCGAGGGCATCGAGCAGTACTACCTGGACAAGCTCAAGCAGGTACCGCGGGCCTGGTGGGTGGGGCGGGAGCCCGGGCTCTCCTCACGCGACTCTCTGCAGCGGCCCCTGGAGCAGAGCCGGTTCGGGCGCCTGAGTGTGCGCTGCCACTACGAGGTGGCCGAGCAGCGGCTGGCCGTGGAGGTGCTGCATGCTGCTGACCTGCCGCCCCTGGATGCCAACGGTGCGGTGCAGGCGCGGGGTGCGGGCACGGGGTGAGCGCAGGGGTGGGGCGCGGGCAGCCTCAGCGCTCACGGCTGGCCCCCCAGGTCTGAGCGACCCATTTGTGATCGTGGAGCTGGGCCCGCCACACCTCTTCCCGCTGGTCCGCAGCCAGAGGACACAGGTCAAGAGCCGGACCCTGCACCCCGTGTACGAGGAGCTCTTCCACTTGTGAGTGCCCCTCCCGCCCCACCGCCCGCCGGGGCGGGCGGCTCCTGGTGACCATCCCTCCGCAGCTCCGTGTCGGCAGAGGCCTGTCGCCGCCGCGGCGCCTGCGTGCTGTTCACGGTCATGGACCATGACTGGCTGTCCACCAACGACTTCGCGGGGGAGGCAGCCCTCGGCCTGGGCGGCGTGTGCGGCGTCGCGAGGCACCCCGTGGGAGGGAGCGTCAGGGGCCCACAACCCATCACTCTGCACCTGCGCCGGCCCAGGGCCCAGGGTGAGTGGGGTGCGGGGCAGGGGTCCAGGGCCAGTGGGGTGCGCGGTGGGGGACCAGGGCGAGTGGGGGGAGGGCGAGGCCCGACGCCGCCTGCCCCCTGCAGTGAAGTCCGCCCTGAGGATGCTGGAGGGCCGGCCGGACAAGGAGGCCCAGGAGTTTGTCAAGAGGCTCAAGGAGCTGGAGAAGTGCATGGAGGCGGACCCCTGAGCCGTGGCCACGCCCCATGTCCCCATGGTGTCCTGCCTCGCCCTGTGGCCAACACTTGGCGCCCCCCCACACGCGTGTGCACGTGTCTATGTATGGCGGGACCCCGGCCCCTCGCCCCCACTCGCTCTGGCTGTGCCGTGTGCGCTGAGGCCCCTGCGCCCACCCTGAATCTGGACAGCTGACCGGCCGCGCGGGTCCCAGGCAGGGGCTCAGCGGGTGGGGTGGTGCTGCCGCCGGGGTCAGGCGGGGACATGCGCCAGCATCACACAGCAGGGCAGACGCACCCCCGGAGGCCGTGGGCCCAGAGCTGTCCAGAGTCCCGTCCCGTCTGCTGGGGCCGGCCTCCCAGGGCTGAGAGGCAGGAAGGCCTGAGTCTGAGCCAGGACGCCAAGCCTTGGTGGAGTCACCCCCGGACCCCGGTGCATGTGTACGCGGCCTCACCCAGCTGGGCTCCAGAACCCCCCACCCACACGGTCTGCGAAGGGACCGGCCTGGACTGCGACCGCCTCCAGCCCCCTCCTGGCTCCCAGGCTTAAAGCTGGGGGATGCTGCGCCCCAGCGTGCGCCCAGCTGCCCTCCCCGGGGCTGACGGGCCCAGCGCAAAGAAACAGATCACGCGTGTCTCCAGGCCTGCAGCTTCATTGCGGGGCCGGGGCCCAGTCGCCCGCCCGCCTCCCACCCGCTGCGTGTCCGTGCTCCCTGCTGCTTCGCCCGGAAAATACACATGTCTCCACCTTCAGGCTCTGCAGCTTCCTGACTCCCCTCCAGGCTCCGGGGGGTCGGCCCCTGCGGATGCCATGTCCTCGGCATCAGGCCCAGGGCCCTCAGACCCGTCCTCGCCGTCACTGTCGCTGCTGTCCGGGAGCAGCCTAGGAGGGAGTGGAGTTCACCAAGGTGCTCCCTGGCACGCTCGCCCGCAGAGCCCACGCTGAGCCCTGCCCCGGCTCGACAGAGCCAGGGCCCCTCCGCGAGGCATCCCTCCCCCTTCAGAGGTAGGGACCGCGAGCGCCTACCGGGGGCCGGCCACGGGCCTGTTGGGGTTGGCGAACTCCCGTCCTGAGTCCACGTCGAAAGGGTCTGCAGAGAGACAAGCAGTCAGGGGCCGGTGCGCCCCCGGCAGAGGCCCCCGCCCGCGCCGACCTGCTGGAGCCCGAGCGGGCCACACCCATCTCCTCCTCCGGGCGCTCCCGCGCGTGGGCCAGGAACTCCCGCTCCGCCTGCAGCACCTCCTCGGGGCCCTGGCAGGCCGCGTAGGTGTCCAGGAGTTGGCGGTTCAGGTCCAGAAAGCTGTGGCCCCACTTGAACTTCCGCAGTAAAACCACAGCCAGGTCAGGAAAGTCTGGAGATTTGGGAAACCGGGGCCTGAGGGTGTCAGCCACCCTCCCCGCCAGAAGCAGGCCCGGCACCCTGGCTGCTGGGAGGGCAGTTCACACCTGCCCCCATGTCCACCCTCGCGGGCCACCTGTGGGCCTCTGGGGCGGCGGCCAGGATAAAGGAGGGGCCCCGCTCACATGCTGCCGACCACGTCAGCCCCACGGGCCGAGAACTTTAAGGGGAACTAGGACCCCCGCCCCACCGCCAGGCACTCACCCAGGATGCTGAAGGTGGCGGCAAAGGCCTCCACGCAGGACAGCTTGCAGGGCCGGCCGTAGTTCACAGGGTTGGCAGCCACCAGGTGGGGCAGCAGCCGCAAGTGGCCACCCCGCATCTTCCCAAAGGGCGTCTCGTCCAGTCTGGCCCAGGAGCAGTCGATGACCGCAACCCCGGCCTGGGCCACCAGCTGTCTGCAGAGCAGGCGGGCGAGGCTCTGGGGGCCAGCACCACTCCAGGGTGCCCGGGGCGGGATGCCCCCCTGGGGGGCAGCTGCAGGTGGGGAGTCATCCTGGGGGCGGGCTTTGTCCCCCCACAACGTTTCTAGAGGCCCCAGGTCGTAGGGTCAGACCAAAGACCAAGCACAGCCAGGAAGATGCCAGGGCGGCCGCGGTCTCCTTAACAGGCTGGGTTCGGGCCGGGCCGCCACCCCCCAGGCCCCCAGCGCCTACCTGTCTGCCGGGGACACGTACTGGGAGCCCGCCGGGCTCAGCACGAGGCCCCCGAACCGCTGGCCCAGGCGCAGCGTGCGCACCAGCCCCAGGCGGGCCAGCTTGCGGCCGGTGCAGCGCCGGGGGTCGCAGTGGCCCAGCTCCCACATGGCCAGCGGGCAGGGCAGCCGCGCGGCGCCCGGGTCGCCCCGGTCCTCGGCCTCGCGGGGCTCCACGGACGCTGCTGGGGCAGACGGGGGGCCGGGCTCAGGCGCGGGCCCCGGCCCCGGCCCCGCCCGGCCGCCCGGCCGCCCGCACTCACCGCGCCGCGCCGCGCCCGCCGCCTCCGCGAAGGCCTCCAGGGAGCGGCCGGCAGCGCGCCGGGCCTCGCCCCCCGGCCCGCGCGCGCCCCTCCTGCGGCCCATGGCGGAGCCGCACCCCGACCCCGGCGGCAGCCGCCCGCTTCCGGCTCCGCCGCGCCACGTGACCGGCGCCCACGTGACCCGCCCAGCGATGGCGGCCGGGCTGGCGCGCTGGGCGCTGCTGCTCGCGCTCGCGGCGCGCGGTGAGTGCGGGACCCCGCGCCCCGCCCCGGACCCCGCGCCCCCCGCCCCGGACCCCGCGCCCCCCCGCCCCGGACCCCCCCGCCCCGGACCCCGCCTGCCCCGCGCCCCTCGGACCCCGCTCCCCCGGCCCCGGACCCCGCGCCCCCCGGACCCCGCGCCCCTCGGACCCCGCTCCCCCGGCCCCGGACCCCGCGCCTCTCGGACCCCGCTCCCCCGGCCCCGGACCCCCGCGCCCCCCGGACCCCGCGCCCCTCGGACCCCGCTCCCCGGCCCCGGACCCCGCGCCCCCCGGACCCCGCGCCCCTCGGACCCCGCCCCGGACCCCGCCCGCCCCGCGCCCCCCGGACCCCGCTCCCCCCGCCCCGGACCCCGCGCCCCGGACCCCGCGCCCCCCGGACCCCGCGCCCCTCGGACCCCGCCTCGGACCCCGCTCCCCCCGCCCCCGCCCCGGACCCCGCCCGCCCGCCCGCTCACCGCCCCGACCCCGCAGGGCCCGCGCCCGCAGCGGCCGGCAAGATGAAGGTGGTGGAGGAGCCCAACACTTTCGGGTGAGCCCTCGCGCCCGCGGCCCCGGGGCCCTCGCACTCGACCCCGGGCCTGACCGCTGCGCCCCCCGCCCCCGCAGGCTCAACAACCCCTTCCTGCCCCAGACCAGCCGGCTCCAGCCCAAGAGGGAGCCGTCGCCCGTGTCCGGTGAGTGGGCGGCGGCGCAGCCCGCCAGCGAGACCTGGTCGGGCCTGACCGGCGGCCGCCCCGGAGCTGGGCCAGGTCACCCCGCTGCGCCGCAGACCCTCCCGCCCCGGCCTGCGGGCGCTGCCCCCCGCGGCCTTGATGCTTCGGCTGCACCCACGGGTCCAGGGGAGCCGGCGGCGGCTCGCGGGCGCCTTTGAACGAAGACCCTCCGGGGCGGTGCCGCCCCGGCTGCGGGGCGCTGTCTGCCGGCCGGCCGCGGAGCCCCGTGTCACCCGCGGCTGGGGACCCCGCGGCCTCCTGCAGGCCCCTCGCGCGGGTGTGAGGGCGCAGGAAGCGGGCGCCCGTCCTGTCAAGCGGCCAGAGCAGCAGGGGTGGCGCCCGCGGGGCAGGTGGAGGTGGGGACTGAAACGGGATGCTCAGATGGCAGCGACGCGCCCGTCCAGCGGGGTCTGGCCGGGTTCAGGCTGGGGGTGCCAGGGAGAGGGGGCAGGCTGGCCCCTACTCTGGCGTCTCACGGGAGACCCCCAAGGTGGAGCGTGGCATCAGCTTTTCGCGGGACCACACCTAGCATCTCCCCGCCGGAGCCAGGCTGCGGTGGAGGCTGGGGCAGCGCGGTCCCGGCTCCTGCCCCGCGTCCACGCTGGCCCCCCTGGCGGTCTCCCCTCGGGATGTTGGGCGCTCAGGCCCAGCGTGTTCTCCTGTTTTCCGCTGTGCTGTGGCCGCCCTGTTCCCCGGCGGTCCCTGGAGGCAGCGACCAGCGCTCCAGCGCCCGCCCAGCGCGGCTGCGGTCAGGGGCCGGGCTGAGGGAGCTGGGACCGCCCGCACGCCTTGGCTGTGCCTCGCTTTTGGGGGACACCGCAGCCCCGTCACACATAAGGTCAGCAATGGGCACCCCACCCCCACAGACCCCGTGCCGGCGCCCGCTGCCCCGCCTGGGACAGCCTGGCCCAGCCCCCCACCCCCGCGGCCAGCGCCGGGCGAGCTGGCTAGGGCGGCTCTGAAACACACCCCGGCTGCCAGAGACCCACCCTCCCACGGCATTCGGGGCGCCCTGTCTGCGCCCAGGCCTCCCGGGACGGGGAGGGGGCTGGGCATGGAGGGGGCACGGGCTTCCCTGGGTGCTCCCCAGCCACAGCGTCCCCGGATGGGGCAGGGCACAGGCAGGGGGCGCCGCCAGGCTGGGAGGTGTGGTGGGAGCAGAGGGGGGGGTGCTGGCGCAGACCTGCTCGCTCTGCAGGGGGCAGGTGGTCCTGCTCCAGCCGGTTCTGGCGCCCTGGGCTCCCCTGTGACTGAGTCCCTGGGGTTTGGGGTGGGGGCTCTGGCTGAGGGCCCGTCGCCCGTGGGGGCTCCCAGGGCACCCCCACCCCCCAAGTGTCTCCAAGGGAACTGCTCCCCGCTCACCCCTGCTCCGTGTCCACCCTGGTTGTGCGCAGCGGCCCTGGCGGGCAGCCTTCTCCATCCGGCCCCCCTAAGACGGTCCCCCGCCAGGGGCTGCGCCCATGCTGGCTGGGGCCTTCTGTGCCCGTTTCCCTGGGGCCCAAGCGCTCTGCTCGCTGCGCCCCTTGGTCCTGCCCGGGCGTGGCATGCCAGGAGGCGGCTGCAGCTGCGCCCGGCCCTTGCCTGGGGCGTCTCCCCGGCCTCCTCGTGCTCCTGCCGGCCGCGGTCTGCCCACGTGGCGAGGGGAGAGGACGGGAGGGCAGGTGGCACTGTGGCCTGTCCGTTCCGCGTCCGCCTCTGGCCAAGGCGCCTTCGGGCCTGCCCCGCCACCCACCCTGGCCTCCCCGGCCCCTCGCTGGCGGTGTGCGCAGAAGGTGACCCAAGGGACGCCGCCTCGGGGTCCGAGCAGGGAACTCCCAGGACGTGCCTGCCGGGCCTCAGCGCGCAGAGCCCAGGCCGGCCCGAGGGGGCGCTCACCCCGGGCTCGGCCTCTCGCCTCGCCTGCCCACCGCTGGCGCCCCGGCCCGTTCCCCAGGGAGCCTGGCAGTGGCAGGGCGCAGGCCCCGCTGGGGGACTCCCTCGGGGGCCGCGAGCCGAGGGGCGGCGCTCCCGCGGACTCAGCGCCGCTCTCCCCCCAGGGCCTCCGCACCTCTCCGGCCTCTCCGGCCAGTGCTTCAGCCTGGTGGAGTCCACGTGAGTGAGGGCGGCGGGGGCGAGGGCGGGCGGCCGGGACACCCCTGACCGCAGCTGTGCCCCAGGTACAAGTACGAGCTCTGCCCCTTCCACAACGTGACCCAGCACGAGCAGACCTTCCGCTGGAACGCCTACAGCGGGATCCTGGGGTGAGTGGGCCTGGGCGGGCCTGGGCGGCGCCCCTCAGGCCGAGCCTCACACGCGCTGTTCCCGCCCAGCGTCTGGCACGAGTGGGAGATCACCAACGGCACCTTCACTGGCATGTGGATGCGGGAGGGCGACTCCTGCCACGCCCGCAGCCGGCAGAGCAAGGTGTGGGCAGGGAGGGCCCGGGAGCGGGGCAGGGAGGGGCCCGGTGTCCCCACCCACCCACCCACCCACCCACCCACCCACCCGGATCCCCTGCTCCCTCAGGTGGAGCTTACCTGCGGGAAAAGCAACCGCTTAGCTCAGGTGTCTGAGCCGAGCACCTGCGTCTACGCGCTGACGTTCGAGACGCCCCTGGTCTGCCACCCCCACTCCTTGTTAGGTAGGAAGGGAGGGGCTGGCTGGTGGGGGTGTGGGGGCTCAGCTCAGTCTGGTTTCTATTGGGTTCTCAGTGTACCCAGCCCTGCCCGCCGCCCTGCAGCAGAGGTGGGACCGGGTGGAGCAGGACCTGGCGGATGAGCTGATCACACCCCAGGTGAGGCCCGGGGGTGGAGGTGGGGTGCTCAGGTGGGTGGGGCAGGCGTGGCAGGGTCGGGTCTGGGCGCTCCTGCCTGCCGCCTCCTGCCTGCAGGGCCACAGGAAGTTGCTGCGGGCGCTCTTTGAGGATGCCGGCTACTTCAGCACCCACGGAGACAGCAAGGCTGCCCAGAAGGGAGGCGGGAAGGGCCCAGCGTTTGAGACGCTGGAGAGGTGCAGCCAGGTATGCGGCCCTGCGGCTGCCTCCAGGGGGGCGGGCCACGCAGCAGTTCCCGAGCCCACCACTGGCTGCACCGTGTTGCAGGCACACAGGGAGCTGACCCAGGAGGTGGAGCGGCTGACAAGTGTGCTAGCCCAGCACGGCCTCCCCTACCTGAGGCCTGCAGGTAATCACGGGGCGGGGGCGCCGGCCCAGCCCAGCCCGGATCAGCCCAGTCTGACCACCGGCCACCCACCTGGTTCAGAAACCTCCAGCTCTGAGCTCTCGCGCCTGAAGACACCCACGGACAGGTCACGAGAGGAGCAACGAGGCAACCCGGGCCCGCAGGGCAACACCCTGTGAGCCGAGAGGTGCTGAGAGCAGAGTCCAGACCCGGGGGTCCTGTCAAGGGAGGGCCTGGGACGCAGACGCACCAAAGGTTCCAAGTTTAATTAATTCCCATACTGGCAAAAAATAAGTCATGAGTTCTGTAAACCACCGCGTAAATGCTATCGTGTAAAAAAGTTTAAGCAAGTGTTCACTTTAAATAAACAGTTCACTACAAGTAAACGATCACGCATCATAAATACTGCTTCCTGGGGGAGAAAGCCCCCGCCCAAGCACCCCGAGCAGGGCAGGCGGGGGGCCATAAGTTAATGCACACGCAGAGGCCTGCGGCCCGGGTAGGGAGAGGCAGCGTCTCCCCGACGGCGCAGGAGGGTGGAAGGGCCCCATGCAGCCGCCCCCGCCAAGGGGGGTGGGAGGGCCCAGTGAACTGTCCTGGCCCAGGGCTCCGCTCTGGGGGACTTCTTTGGTCACCCGCACCACGTCTCGTGGCCAGGCTGGAGGACGCGGGGCACCCCACACACCACCCAAAAAACGGACCAAATAGCTTATAACTAGGCCTAAAGCTTAATCTCACATGCCTGACCTGAAAGTGCGCCCCCCACTCCCCGCCACAGAGGTGCAGGCCAGTGGGGCTGGCGAGACAGCAGCGCAGACAGACGGCATCGTTACTGAAACCAGACGCAGCGAGGGCTGCCTCGGGGGCCCGCCGAGGGCCACCTCCAGGCCCTGCTGCAGCGGGTACGTTCTGACCCAGCCGCCCACGAAGACACTCGCCGAGCTGCTGTGCGCGTCAGGGAACGCTAGAAAGTCTTTGGCAAAGCCCAGGAGCAGGAGGGCCACTGCACCAGAGGCCGAGCCGGCAGCCTTGCTGAGGCCGGAGCGGTGCTCCAGGCCCGGCAGCATCGCCCTAGTCTCCGAGGCCATGCCGGGAGCCTGGCGGCGCGGGCAGGGCCTGTCCCTCTCCGCTGGGTGGCGTGCAGGGCTCACCGGTGGAGACAGGACGCGCCAGCCTGGGAAGTAGCACCACGGGGCTCAGCCCTGCCTTGGAGCGGGTCACCAGAATCCCGCTGTCCCCCGCACATGCGCTTGGAGCCTGGCGCCTCCCGGCTGTGCAGTCGCTGGATCCACGCAGGTGCAGGCTGCCATCAGACCGAGTGGCCCACCCGCCCCTGGCATAGGGTGCCGGGCTCACCGCAGCCCCTGCAGCTCCACTTCAGCGCCTCTTTAAGAAAACTGGACGCAAAAAAGCAGCTTGGACTGCGGAACGGCCTCGGTACCAGTCCTCTGCTCAAAGGGCTTGGCCGGCTGCGCAGAGCACTGCACCGGGGGTCAGCAGGGAACCTGCTGGGGCTTCTAGTCACCACCGGAGGGGCTGGTCTGTGCAGCAGGGGCACGCAGGGGCGTCAGCCGCGCAGGGCTCGCAGAGGACGCGGTGCTGGCAGGGCCGCAGGACAGCGCCCTGGGCCTGCTCCCCGCACACGGCGCACTGCTTTGCGCACAGCTGGAAGATCACCTGTGGGCAGAGGCCTTGGTGGGTCCAGGGTCCTCCCACTCCACCCACCCGAGGGAAGCCCAGAACCTAGACCCCTGACCCACCAGGCTCCAGCTGTGCCCCACGGGGCCAGGACCACCCGAGTGCCTGGGAGGAGGATGGGCCAGGAGGGAACAGCCACGCCCAAGTGGGCAGTGCCAGGATGTGGGCTTGGCAGAAACTTGGGTCAGGCCGAAGTTGGGGCAGCGAAGCCTCAGCGGGTCAGCAGGAGGGGCCCGCGGGACTCACCCCGTCCACGGCCTCCAGGTCCAGGCGCAGTTGGCTCTGCAGCGAGTGCAGCTTGGGCAGGGGTATGGCTCCGATGTCGCCGCAGCCCCGCAGCCCAGGTAGCGCGGGAGATACGCCCTCCAGCTCCTCCTGCAGACGTCGGAACTGGGCCTCCACCTCCTGCTTCTTCTGCAGCGCCAGCTGCCGAGCGCTGTCAGCCGCCAGGGCCCGCTCCTTGGCCTCCTGTGCCTCCCGCTGCCACGCGTCACAGGCCTAAAACCCAAGGGGCTGCAGTGGCCGCTCCCAGGCACCCCAGTGGCTGCCCCCGTCCCGGCCGCTCACCTGCTTCACCTGCTGCCAGGACTCCTCCCACTGCCGGATCTTCCTCTTGGCCTCGTCCAGCTGCCGCCTGACCCGCGCCAGCTCGGTGCCGCCGGGGCTGGCACTCGCGGGGCCCGCGGGGCCGGAGCCCAGGATGGGAGATGGGCTAGGAGAGAAGCTGCCGGAAACAAAGTCCCAGATGCTCCCGGGCACGCCATTGAGACCTGCGCGTGGAGGGCAGGTGTGAGGGTGCGGCGGGGCAGGGGCGGCCCTGGCCGAGCGCCGACTCGGGGTCCTGGGCCCCGCACACCATCACCAGGCCCTCCCGAAGGCCGGCCCCAAGAACACGGCACCGCTAAGTGTCAGAGACCCTGAAGAACTTATTCCCACGGGCGCGCTGACCCATGAGAGGCGTCGGAAGTCAAGTCACGACAGCCGGGCGGTAGAGATGCCCTCCGCGGAGAAGCCCGGGACACATCACGGCTCCAGGGCCCACACCGGGGCGGCCGCGCAGGCGCAGTCACGGTCCTGGGACGAGCACAGGCCGGGGCCGGGAACTCACCGAGGGAGTTGTAGGCTGGGGCCGAGGGGCCCAGCGCCCCGGGCTCTGGCTTGAGAGCTGGCGGCTGCTGTGGGGGCGTCATGGCCGAGACCAGGGGCCCCGACAGGGACCGGGAGAGCGAGCTGCGCGGGGAGGTGGACAGGGACGGCGAGCGGGGGAGGCAGCCAGGGATGGCGACGGGGGCTGAGCCCCCCAGAGACCGCTGCCCTGCAGAGAAGAGAGAGCCAGCATGGGCAAGGGCACAGGCAGCGCCCACCAGGGCCGATGCGGGGCCCGGTCCCCCGCACCATCTTTGAATGGGGGAGCAGCCGCGGCAGGTGGAAGCTGGGAGGGGACCGGGGAAAGCAGGCTCTGCCGCCATAAGGCCCCCAGCGGAGAAGTGGGGCGTGGGTGGAGGCGGGAGCAGGGTCCTCACCAGTCAGCCCCTGGTCGCCGCTGTCCTGCTCGTCCAGGTCCTTTCCTGGGGACACAAGATCACTCCGCTGCGGGCCCCTGCAGGCCGGCCGTGGCTCCCTCCTGCCCGCCCAGGGAGAGGAGGGCCCAGAGGGGCCTGGGTGATGACCCTGGCCACTGCGCCCCCCCAATTCTCCACATTCTCCCCCAGAAAGAGCATCTGGGCAAAGCGTGCCCGGCCTGATGCCTGTATCTCCCAAGCGCTCGGCCAGCTCACTCAACACACCAGACGAGGAAGAACCTTTTGGGACCTCTTCCCAGGCTGCGCCACACTGAGGCCGAGCCCAATCAGCAGAGACCCTTGCCCGATCCCTGCCCCGTCCTGGCCGGGCCCAGTGCCCAGGCTGGAGCCGCCTGAGTCCTCACAGCCCCACAATCAGCCCAGGGGAAGGTCCAGACAGGCTGCACCATCCGTCTGGCACCGGAGCTAGGGCCGCAGGAGTTCCTGGGACGCCCCCACCAGCGCTGCCTTCCCTGCCCATGGCATCGCCGGGCCAATAGCTGGATCTGCCCGAGGCCTCAGCGGCACCAAAGGCGCAACACACAGATCCTCCCCTGCTGCTGGAGTGTCCCCTCTTGGCGCTCCCTCCAGTGCCTGCACCCCTGGCCAGAGACATGCAGTCCCCTCAGTAAGACCAGTCACCCCTGCCCCAAGGACCCTGGGCTGACCTGCCTGCCTTGGGCCAGCCTTCTACAGGATTCCCACCCTACCTGCTGAGGGGCCGGTGCCCAGAATCAAGCACTCATCACAAAGGACTCTACACTGCCCCACCCGACTAGCACACTGGTAGAGGCGCGAGAGTGGGCATATTGCTCAGCTCTGACTGCGCCCTGGCACCCTGCACCGGGTCACCCCAGGAAGCAGAAAATGGAATGTGAGACCAGAGGCTGCCTCACACAGGAAGAAGTGAGCAGCTAGTCTTCCAAACTGCAGGCACAAAACAAGAAAAGATCCCTGAAAGAGCCCCCAAGACCCCTGGGGTCCGCCCCCCCCCCCCCCCCGCCTGCACTGCTCCAGCATGAAATTCTCCAAAACAGCAAGTGCACCCTGCCAGGAATCCAGCCCCCCCACCCCCAAAATAAGACACTGGAGGCTTTAGATATTGTGCTGGTCCCAGCCGCAACCCCATGCCCCCAGCAGCCTCCCCACCCCAGCCATCCCTTTGCCCTTGATTCCCAGCACAGCAGTGGGTACAGCTCGGCCTCCATCAGTTACAAACACCCGGCCATCCTGGGAAAACTCGGGCTCCGGCTCCACAGCCCTCTGAATCAGACCCACCACCCCCGCAGCCCGCCAACCCCTGCAGGGCCCTGGACCCTTGTCGCAGCAGCAGCCAAAGACGGGCGGCCCAACCCCCTCAAGCGCAGCCTGACCCTGCGCAGAGGGGACCCGAGCCCCTGTCCACGCGCCGGCCTGGCGGGCCCAGCAACGCGGACGCCCTGGACCTCCCTTCACACCTGGCGTCCTGGGCTCAGGCTGGGGTGGGGCCGTCTGTCTCAGAGTCCGCAGAGCTCCAGAAACACTTTTGAACAACAAAGTCACAAAGAGAAGGTCAGTGAGCGACGAGAAAGCCAGCGAGCAGCCGTCTCACCTGGAAGGACGCGCGCCCCACCCCCACCCGTGACTCAGCGCAACGGCCGCGGCCCCCCCAAGCGGGGTTCAGGGTGTTACTTGGAGAGGTGATGTCTGGGGGCGTCTCTGAACCACCCCCGGGGCCCTGCCGTCCTACCCAGGGCCACAGGCCGCGGAAGAGCAGGAACGAGCCCCCGGCCCGGGGCGGGCTCCGGCGCGCGGCTCTCGGGGGCCGGCGGCTGCCCGGGACGGCCGCCCGCCCGCCCGCCGCACCCCAGCGGCGTCCGGCAGGTTCGAGCCCCAGACGAAGCTCCGTGGGCCGCGCCGCTGCTCAAGCCCCGGGGCCGCCCGGCCGCGCGGAGAGGCGCCGAGGAGCGCCCGGCGGGGCCGCTCCCGCGAGACACAGCGCGGAGACGGGCCACGGAGACCGGGAGCCCGCGCGCCCGGCGTCCCCCCAGCACCGGCGCCCCCCGCCCCGCCGGCGGGGCTTGGACCCCGCGCCCCGCGGAACCACCCGGAACCCGACCGCGCGGGGCCGACGGTGCTGACTCACCGCCCGCGCCCCGCCGCCGCCGCCGCCGCGATTCAAACCCGGCCCGCGCCCCGCCCGGCGGCCCGCCCGTCCCGGTGACGCAGCCCGCGGGCGCCGGCCCGCCCCAGGCCCCGCCCCCACGACGCCGGCATCTGGGCGCAGGCTGCACTCCCAGGCCCCGCCCCCCGGTGACGCAGCCCGCGGGCGCCGGCCCGCCCACATGCCCGCCCCGGTGACGCAGCCCCGGGGCGCCGGCTGCGCTCCCAGGCCCCGCCCCTAGGCCCGCCCCCGATGACGCACCCTCGGGAGCCGGCTACGCCCCCGAGACGTAGGCACAAGGCGCGCCTGCCCCGCCCCCAGGCAACGCCGGCGCCGCCCCCGGGACGGGCGCAGGTGCACACGCGAGCGGAGGCCCCGCCGCCCCGCCTCGGGGCCCCGCAGCCCCTCCAGTCCACCGGTCTCACGCGAATTGGCGCTCCGCCGGCGCCGCCTCGCGCCACCCTGACAAGGCGCCGCCGCTCCGTCCGCCGGGAGTGGCCCCACGTGGTGGCCGGAGGGCAGAGGCGCCCCTCCGCGGCCCCCGCCATGACCCCGCCGCCCCGCAGAACACAGAATCAGCCTGAGCGCAGCACCTGCTACCGCAGCATCACCCCCCATTCCCACTAGCTCGCCTTTCTCCCTGCTAGGGTGGTGGCCGCTGGCCAGCCCCGCGCAGGCGGGGACACGGGGGGGGTAGGGGGAAGGGGGGGGCGGTCCTGGGCGGCAGGAAGCTGCTGGCAGGGGCCCAGTCCAGAGGGCGGCCCACTCCCGGCCCGAGCTCTCCACCAGCTCTCTGCAGGGTGGTCCGGACAGGCCCACTGGCCGCATCGGGGCTGTTTTGACAGCAGAAGCAGAAGCCAAAGCTCATTATACGTGAGCAGCAGCGTATGCCCCTACCCCCTCAGCCGTTGGTGGGGAGCTCCAGTCCCGGTCCGAGGTAATGCCGGCATGCAACAGGCAGAAGGTGGTACCAGGGCTGGAAGGCGCCATCTAGCTGGGCCTGAAGAGCAGGGGATGGGGCGGCCTCCTGCTCCAGTCCTGCGACTACCTTCAAGCCTGGGAAAGTTAACCCGCAAACATGCCCTGCCTCTGGCCCTGAGGGATGCTGGTCTGCAGGTTCAGGTCAGCACACGGGGGCTGGCCTTGCACTCTGGCACCAGGAGGGGCCCGGTACCAACAGGGACCTGGCCCTGAGAGGGCCAGTCCTCCAAGTCTGCCTCCTGGAGGCCCAGAGGGGTGCTCTCCAGAGCGGCTAGCGCACAGAGCTGAGGAGGGGAGGTCAGGGCTCCAGAAGCAGCAGCCATCCATCCAGCCATCCCCACCAGCCCGAGCCTCAGTGACCGGCAGCTGAGAACATCTCCACAGTGGATAGCACCTACCCGTCATCCAGTTTTGCCCCCTCCCTGGGTGCCCTTGCTGCACCCACTTGCGTTTCTTTGCAAACTCCCACTCTGCCACGCCCAGGGCCCTCGTCCCCAGGCAGGCGTTTGTCCTCTGCCATGGGAGGTGCCCAGAGGCCAGTGACTGGACACGCACCCCTGCGTCCACAAGGCCCCGAGCCAGCACAGCTGAACGCAAAGCCGGGGCAGCGGCGCCTGCGACTCACCTGGGCCTGACTCCAGGGCACTGCTGGGGGGGTCGAGCGGGTGGGCACGCACCGGGAGCAGGGGCAGCGCGGTGGGGGAGGAGCCGCCCGAGCCTGCGCTGGACGCCAGGCTGGAGCCCATGCTGGAGCCCACGTTGGGAGCAAGGGGGTGGCCCACAGCAAACACCGACAGGTGGCTCTGCGCAGAGACAGACACAGCGGTGAGCAGCGCCGTGGGCACCGGCAGGAGGCCAGCCAAGGCAGCAGTGCAGGCTGCCACTGGGACAAGGCCCGGAAGCGGCGCCCGGGACGGCTCTGCAGGGACGGTGCTCAGGGGCCACCCGCAGGACAACACGCCGGAGCCCCACAAGCGGCCTGTGGCCCTGCCCCAGCAGACGGCCTGAACGACCCCCCACCCCGCTGCCCTCCTGGGACAGAGCAGAGAGCGCTGTCTCCGGCACCACCTGGCCAAGAGCGAGCCGGGCTGCCGGCCGCTGTGGGAAGGGATGCCAGGTGGAGGCAGTGTCCAGGCGAGCCCACAGCAGGGCTGTGTGTGTGAGCCCCCTGCACCTCTGGGCCCGCCCCTGAGGCTCCCGTACCCACGGCCTGGAGACCCACGCCCACCACTGTCGCCACAAAGCTGAGTCTCAAGGACAGGAGGCGGCGGCCGAGGCCCCTGGCAGGCTCCCCGGGTGAGCGCAGGGTGTCCCCACGCATGGCACCAGGGCCAGGGGCCACGGAGCCCCTCAGGGTGTGGGGCCAGTCACCCTCGGGCGTCCAGCAGGGTCCACCCCAGAAGCCCAGGCACACGTGCTCTCTCAGCAAACCCCGCCTCAGTCTTTGGGACCCTGGGAAACGGTCAGCAGCAACCAGGCTGGGGCCCACCTAGAGGATACCCGGTCACCACAGAGGCCATGCCCCGCGACCATCACCAGGGGCTGCCCCAGCCCTGCGACCACCTTCCTCCCGGAGCCCACCGGACGCCCAGCCTGGGGGCGCTGGGGACGCGCCGAGGGACAGCCGCGGTAAGAGCCTCGAGGCAGGGCCGGGAACCGGCCGAGCCAGGGCACGGAAGGGGGCGCCGGGCAGGGGGCAGGGGCGGCTCCCTGCACCACCTGCAGGCCGAGACAGGAGGGATGCGGGCACGGCAGGGGCAGCTGCGGGGCCTCCCGAGAGGTTTCAGGGTGGGACGAGCCGAGGTGAGACCAGGCAAGGGGGCAGGCGCACGGAACACGGGCCGGGAGCAGCCGCTGGCGGAGACTCTTGGGGACGAGGATGTGCTTCTGGGCCAGACTCGTGTGCGGGCCACCCCGGCCCCGGGCAGCCACCAGCTTGGGCCGCCCGCAGCTGCCTGGAAAGGCGGGAGCAGGGTCCTCACTCCTGTGGGGCTGGCGGCCGGCGGGGAAGTCACCCCCCCCCCCCCCCGGGCCTGCGGGGGACACCCCGCCGGGAGGAGGCGGTGGCTGCCCCGCTCGGGCCGCTCGTCGGCTGGCCGTCTATCTGGCCTGACGTGCAAAGCGGTGGTCGGCGAGGTCGCTGCAGAGGACGCCATCTGCTGGGCGGCGCTCCCGCCTGGCCCTGGGCTCCGCCTTCCACGCGGCGCCGCTTCCCATAGGAGGGGAGCTTCCTACACGGACAGGCCACCCGGGCCGCCAGCCGCCCCCATGCGCCGCCACACCCGGGACGGGAGCCCTCGAGGACAAGGGAACGTGTCTGCCCTGCCAGGTGCCCAGCCCACCCCACGCCATGTCTGGGGGCCCGGCTGGGGCGCGGGACCCGGCGGTGGGCGCGGGGGCCTGAGGACCCGGAGGTGGCTCGATCACCCTGGCTGGGCGCAGAGCAGTAGGGGCGACGACGCGTGGCGAGCACCCCAGGTGCCGGCCTTGCCCGCCTTCCCCTCCCGAGCACCAGCCGAACACTTGCAAGCGGAGGTCAGTGGGCCCGGCCAGAGCTCGGCCCAGCCCGACTTCCGGGAAGACCCGCAGGTGGGAGCCTCCACCGCGTCGCCGCTGAAACCAAGGGGCGCAGAGGCTGCCCGACATCCTTGGCTTGCTGCCCACTTACGTGTCCGGGCTGCCCGCTGCCGGCTGCGGTGCTGCTGGCGGAGGCCAGGTCTCGGCAGCCCCGGTCGCTGGCCGCTCCCAGGCTCTCTGCCAAGGGGGGTGAAGGCCATGAGGGCAGGACAGGGGCCACGGTGCAGCCAGGCGCGCGCACAGCGAGAACTGACCCACAGCGAAGGACAGGCTGACCGGGAGTGCAGCCACACAAAACCAGGGGAGCCAGACCCCAGCCCCGGAAGGGGCCCTAGAGACCACGAGGGCATGGGGCCGAGTCAGCCGAGCTGCCAGGCCCTGGAACCCGGGGTGGGGGTATCCCCTCCCGCCCCAGGGACCCTGAGAACAAAGAGCCGTGCCGGCTGCCTGCTGCCCACCCGCCCACCCCCAGGGCCCGCTGCACCAGCGTCTCTGCGGGTGACACTCACTGTCCACGTGTGCGAAGGCACAGAAGGGGCCCCGTGGGCAGCAGCCGGTCTGCCGCATGTCATTGCACCTGGTGGACTTGTAGATCTAGGAGACAGGAGAGGCGGTGGGGCTGCGCGCGGACCCAAGCTGGCCGCCCCCGCCCGGAGCAGAGCCCAGACCACGGGGCGTCCTGCGAAGAGCACCCATGGCGGGGCCTCTCCTGCACTCACTGCTCAAGCCGCTCCCCTGAAGGACGTGCCCCGCCCGCCGCCGTCCCCGGCAGGCCCATTCAATGGACAGCCGTGTCGCCCCAGACCCGGCCCGCTGCCCCCACCCCCGGCCGGCCATGCCGGCCTGGTCTCGGCAGACCCAGTCTGGAGTGGAGGGGGCCGCGAGGCCCCACGCGGGCCAGCAGGTCAGGATCTGCACCTGGACCCTGCGGCACCTCCACGGGCCTCCCTGATGCGCAACTTGCGGGCTTGCCACTGCCCCAGGGCCTGCCCCAAGAGCAGACACCAGAGACCGCTGACGCCCCGGCTCCTGAAAGCGCGTTACTGCTCGAGCCGTCCGCCATGGGAGGGCCAGCACCGACCGCTCCGGCTCTGCGGCAGCGGCATTCTCAGACGCCCGCTGCGCTGTTGAAAGTCTCATCCCTTCACTCGTGACGTCCAGGGCACGCGCCCAGCCCTCTGACGGCGGCCACGTGGGCTCTGTGGCACTTGCCCACTGCCGGGCAGGCCAAAGCCCCGTGCTGCCTGCCGGTGCCATAAACCAGGCTGCCCTCGGGGCGACCCTATGGCCACATCCCGCGGGGGCCTAGGGACTGCTCCCCACGGTAGGAGGGGGCCGCCTGCCATCGCAGCTCCTGTGCTGAGCGGTCTCCTAGCGTCTTGCTACCTGCTCAACCTCTTTGTGGCCGAATTTTGTACGTTTCGCGTCCTGGACAAGTGCCTCCCACCCCCACCCCTCCGCAGTCACACCATGGGGCCCTGCTCCCCCCGCGGGGACCAGTCTGTTGGGCTGCCCGAGTCTCCTCTCGCCAAGCAGCAGCTCTCGAACATGGGTCATCCCCTCAGCCCACTCGTGCCCCCCCCAGGGGCCGCATCTCCAACATGCCCTGCGCCCCCACCCCCACCAGGGGGCCTGCCCCGCAGCCACCCCAACATGGGTAAGGTGCAGGCGCCTGCGGGTCTGTTCTGGGTTCCCCGGTCTGCTCCACTGACACGCATGTCCATTTCTGTGCTGATGCTCGCCTAGGACCGCGAGGCTGGAGACGCCATGGGGACACGCCCTGCGCGCGCGTGCGGGGGAACCGTCCCACCCGGGCCCTGCCCGCAGCCACACACGACGGGCGGGCTTCACTCCTCTGTCGAACAGCCGCACTGAGGGCCGTGGGCCGGCGGGGAGGGGCGCGGGCCGGGCCCTACCTCAGGGTGGAACTGCTGCTCCGTGCGGGAGTGGCAGTGCTGGCAGCTGTCCCCGCTCTCGCAGCGCGCAGGCTCGCCCCACTCATCGCCATGCTTCACGCTGGGGCAGGGCGTGGACCTGGGGGTGGAGCGGCGTCAGGGGGTGGGGACCGACCACCCTAAGGGTCTGGGCTGCAGACCCGCTTGCAGGAAGAGCCAATGATCCGGGCGCCGAGCTCCACTGTCCCCACTGCCAGGGCGAGCGAGGGGCTGGGCTCCTCCCTCCTGGGAACTCCCCCAGGACCCGCGGCCAGCAGGCCGTGGCTGGGGGACAGGGGTGCCAGCTGTGCTCAGCTGGGGAGCTCCCGTACCCCACACGCTGGGGCCTTCCAGCGGGCAGGCAAGAGGTGGGCCCACCTGTACTGGCAGCTGCGGGGGCTGCGCCGCCGGTCCCGGCTGTTGTGGTAGTGTGGGCAGGCGTAGCCCTGGCGGCACAGGCGCGGCGGCTTCGGACACGGCTCCGTCTTATAGCTGCCCAGCACGAAGCTGGTTTCTGAAAGACAGGCCCGCCTGGACACGTGGGCACGCAGGCCCCGCATCTCCCACACACCGAAGCAGTCAGCGGCATCGCAAGGATGCAGGCCCAGCGCACCAACACCCGCCCCCGCGGCCTGGCAGCCACGCCCTGAGCGAAACGCTGGCCATGGGCATGGGGGGGCAGGGGTGTGTGTGCACAGCCACACCGCAGGCTGGGTGGACACTCCGCAGTCGCAGGCACAGCGGGTTCTGCTCCGCCGGGGTCCCACATGGTGCAGCCCCTCCCCAACAGTAGAGGACCCCGGGTGCAGGGTACAGAGCAGCCAGGGTGCAGGGCCCACGCGGCCCCCATGCCCTAGACTTGGGCCTCCGCCCCCCTCTGAGCGGTAAACCCCGCCAGGCCCACAATGCTGCCAGAGGTACAAGGCCCCGCCCACCCCCAGCCTACCTTGCCACCGGGGGTCCTCGCCCAGGATCTTCTCAATCATAGCCTGGCTGGCCAAGACGCTGGGCTGCAGCTCAGGGATGCCCCCGCCCCCACCCAGAGGGCCGTCCAGCAGCGCTTCCTGGCCCTGCTGCAGCTCCCTGGAAGCACAGAGCCGCTTGCACACACCTCCCAGCCACACGGGGCCTGAGTAGTCACCAGGGGTCAGGACAGGACCTGGCCAGCTCCAGGCACACCCGACCCAGACACGGGCCGGATCCGCTGCACCTGAGAGCTGTGTTCCTGGGCACTGGGCCCCACCCCTCCGAGGGAGCAACCCCAGAAGGGAGCTGCAGCAGGCGGGCATGCAGTGAGGGGGACCAGCCGAAGGCCCTGAGCTGCCCATGAGGAGCTGCTGCGGCGCCGCTGCACTCACCGCACATCACACACGGGCGGCCGCAGGTCCAGGGGGCCGTGCGCGAAGGCGCAGTGTGGCCCGTTCCGCACGCAGTGGCCCCGGGCGTCCGTCTCGTGGATGCAGGTGCCCGTCTTGTAGTAGCGCAAGTGGTACTTGCGCTCCGTGTCCCCCGTCGTCCGGTGCAGGTATGGACACCTGGGGCAGAGACGCCGGCACCGTCTGGGCTGAGAACCTGGAGACCACCCACGGGCTGCTGGTCCCCTGCCAGGCCAGCGCCGCCGCCTCCACACCCAGCCAGACAGCAGCTCCGGGGGTGGAGCCCTCCCTAGACACCAGGCCCCCAGGGCTGCCGCAGAGGACGCCCTCGCCTGGCACAGGGCCTGTGGGCCCCACCTGGGAGCAGCACCCGTGGGCCCAGCCAGACCCAAAAGAGAAAGCGCCCAGGGCTGGGGACCACCTGCGTGGACCCCACCCACAGGGTGAGGGCACAGAGGCCGGGCGCTGACCCCGGTGCCCAGCAGCAAACACCAGGAAGCCCTGGGCCTCCCGCAGACAGGGTGCTCCCCCAGAGGGCCAGTGCTGGCCAGCAGGCAGGGTGGCCCTGGGGCACGGGGCGTAGACTCACAGGGCCGGGTTTCTGTCTGGGGCAACGGGGAAGTGTGGACAATGGGCCGCAACTGCCCGGCGGGGCGCACAGGTGTGGGGATGGGCAGGTGAGAGTTGCTCAAAGCCCAAGCAGCACCCAGAGAAACAGAGCAGGCGGGAGCCCTTTGTGTCCCTCACCCCACACACTGGGGCAGCCTGTACCCCGTGGCACCCACACACCAGACCCCTGGCGCAGGGGCCAGGCCACAGCCCAGGCCCGCCTGAAGCGCCTCCTCCTGCCCGCTGGCCTTGCCACCTCACAGCGGAACACGTTGAGTCACAGGCCAGGCTGGACCTGACTTCATGAAAAAGAAGAAGAAAACCGCAAAACCGCCCTCCGCGCCAGGCAGCAGGGAGACGGTGTGCGCGTGAGGAGCTCCCAGCCTGCACCGAGCCCGGGAATCCGCAGGGCTCTGCAGGCCCCAGCTGCCTCTGCTGCGAGGCCCAGGATAGCCGGTGGCTGGTGGCGTGCTCCGGGGGCCACCCGGCCTGGTCTGAGGCGCAGGCTGCCGGCTCGTGACTGGGAAGCTTCTGAACTGCACCCCCACCAGGCGCCGGTGCTGGGGTGCCCGGCTCCCTCACTGCTGAGGCTCCGAGCTCGCCCCCAAGATGGGATTAAACAGCAAGTTCACAGGCGCCATCGTGCTGGGGCCGGGCCAGGCACGGAGACATGGAGCCTTCAGATGAGGGCCGTGGGGACCAACACAGGGCATCCAAGCAAGGACGGGCGACAGGCGGAGCCCCCATGCCTGCCCGGTCTGGCTCCCAGGCTGTGGTCAGGAAGGGTCAGGCGGGGGAAGGGCCTCCCGCCCAGAGGGCAGGGGTGGGAAGAGAGCCAGGCCACCCAGAGGACGCACGTCCACAGGCAGTCCTTTCCTACTAAAGCAAGGCCCTCTCCAAGAGCAGGGTGCAGAGGCCACCCCAAGGGTGGCCTGGCTGGGGCAGGGGCGAGGCCCGCTGCTCTGTGCGGGGCTGGGCCGTAGGTTGTCTCCCCAGGAAAATGGCCCTGCCAAGTGTCCTGGAGAGGGAGGCCTGTCGCCTGCAGTGTC